TCCGTCGTATGTATGTTGTATGTATAATTTTTGTCGTGTTAAAATGTGTTGATTCTGCCAGATATTGTTCAAACTTTAGGTAAGTAAACTTAAGGTAAGTAGGTATCGATAAAGCAGAGTTTGAATTTAATAAATATGGTTGACCTGCATACATTTTGGACTGCATTAATATTTGATTGAATTGTTTATTAAAATAATGAATTTATAATAAGTCATAATTTATTAGTCTATAATATTATTATGACATATAATAATATAATCATTAAAATAGATCATAAACCATTTATTTAAAATACCAATAATATGTATGCCTATGTCATATGTATAGTATTACCTATTGATAATGATTCCCATAGGGCATAGGTATGTTAAATATCAAATACCTATACCTAATTATTATAATTTATTACAAAAAATTGTAAGATTCAAAATCATGATTTATTCGATATTGGTTGGTACATAATACAAAAAAACCTCCTACCAACACAATTTTTAAATTTTTTTAATATATATAGATAATATTATATAATATTAAATTTAAGGATCAAGGGAATCAAAAGCTTATGAAGTTGAAACAAAACCAGTGGAAACGATATACCTACACCTAATACAACGGTGAGTTTCTTTGTTGGTAATTTTTAGTATGTTATTATATTAAAAATGTTATTATGCATAATATTAATGAACTGAAACATTTTGGTGATTTCATGTAAAAATTAAAACTTAGTTCTAGTTTCATAACTTTGAACAATTCTAAGAATTTGTTGATTTGCATCAGTAAATTTGATTACTTTTTAGGGTGACTGTTACCGGCTATTAGTTACTATAAACTCCATATCGCTAATTCCAAGCTTGTACTTTCCGCAAACAATTGTTAAAATACGACAAACTAGGAAATTGTCTTACTAATATTGTTACTGATGTCCATTTGTTAATATTCATATAATCGAATACCTTCAACCAACAGTAGAAAATACCTTAAAATACATACAATATAAAAATGCCATGTCCTTGTAATTTATATTATATGATTACAAGTTCTAATATTTTGTCTAGATGTATTGTGTCATGTACTAAACATTTATGCATATTATTCAATACAGATAATATTCATGTGTAAAGATGGGATGTGAATGTGAGTTGTTGAGTAGTTATACATGTATATAAAAACTTTGTAGCTTTGTTCTTTAAAATGTTTAAATGTCTTTCATGATATTTTATATTATTGTAACAAATAAGTATAAATATCTTATAAAGGATTAAATAAATCACAACTGTATTAAATACTTATAAGCTAAAAATGCTTTGGATACATTTGATCATACATAATTTATTATGATGAATAGCTGTAAGCTATAGTGCTAAATTATCGTACTTAATTTTTATTCTGTAGGTCCAATACTTTTTGTTATTTAACTGGAAAGGAAGACAAAAAAAACTATTAAACTTAACATTAGTCATTTTATCATTGGCCTTATTATAATTTAACATTGGGTTGCACAAACAATTAATTAAATTTAATGGTTCACTAAAATTTAATGCACCAATCGTGGTCCACTAAATCTGTATAAGGGACTATTAGCATAGGCATGCGCAGGGGGATGCCGGGTATGATATGGCATCCCCTGCAAAGTTATAATAACCATATATTTTTTAGTTTTAAATGTTTTGATTATAAATTAGAATCATGAACTATAATAGATAGTTCATAGTATCTTAGTTCAAGAATTTAAATATTTTGATTATTTTTTTATGTTATTTTCCTATAATAAAATATTGGGAGTTGAGACGAAATCAAATATTAATTAGATTTCATAATTATATTTTCATAATCACCACAGGTACATATAAATAATAAAATAGATTCCTAACTCATAATAATATAGCATTGAAATCAAAATCCACCATTTTCGGGAAAATTGCAGGTTTTATCACCAGAACATTCAGGCCCTTGAGGTATTGCTTATTTTCATACTAGTATACTACCTACAATTATCAAAAATAAAAGTATTCCGATAAATCAGATTATCATATTTGTCATTATTGTATATTATTATAATATAATCAAATGCCTGTAGGTTTTTTATACTGCTGTTACTTTATTGGAATGAAATCACAGTACAAGCTTTTCAAATTAAAATGTCTAAAATCAACAAATAAGCTAAGTAAAATACATGTTAATTTCTTTTCGCAATTATATGGCAAGTTATTTGTACATATTAAGAGTTTTTGGGAAGTTATTTTTTGTATTGATATAGGTAGGTATGTTTAAAAATACCGGAATCCAGGAATACACAAATGTGAAGCAAAACAATTAATATAATTCATCCAAAATTGTTGCAATGTTAATAAATACACAATTAGTATATTACTTTAAACTTCTTTTGTAAAATAGAAACAATATATGCATAGTGAAAAAACCTATTTATGAACAAACTATACAAGATTATTTTAGGATTTAGAAAGTTAAATCAAAATATTTAGACTATCAAGTATGTATGTCACTTGCACTAGAAACTGCAATGGGTTCAAAATTAAGTAAAAAGTTTAAATATTATACATTTAACTTAGTTTTTGAACCCAAACCTTCAATAGGACACTACACAGACATTTGCTATCTCCATCTTACAAGTGCATAACATGGCAAATTTTAAATTAAAAATTTTAAATTGTTTGTACATCCATTAAGAGGATTCCATACGACCATACCTGCATGTACTGTCACCGTCTTACAATCATACAACATATCAAATTTAAGTTCAGCAGATCGTTAACTTAAATATAATGGTTTTATAATTTTATTGAACTTTTATCATAATGTACACTGTATACCATTTTACTTTTACTTTACTATTATTTACTTATTTAAACTATACCTACTCATCTCAAATTAATAGTTTAACAAATATATATTTTTATTTCGTATAGCAATTGAATGTCATAGTACATGACCTTCATATTTATTATAAGTTATATAACATTAAAACATAACAACTGTCAATTTGTAATTTAAAATTATTAATTTTATTAAAATCATTTATAATTGAAACTCGCATAATATATAATTTACAACTTAATAAAATATATTAATATACACAAAATTATGTTATCAAGAAAAGGAACAGAAATGTTTGTGTTTTTGTATTGGATTATTTTTATTTTATACTGATATAGACCATATAGTAATATTTATGTACAAACCAAAAGTTTCAAAATGTTTTTAACTTGATGGATTTTTTTTAAATCAACTGAGAAAAGCTAAGTTATTTCAACTGTAAATTAAACTAGTTAAGTTCATAAGTTGATTAGAAAATAAGCTACCTAGTTATGTTAAAAAGTTAAAAAAAAAATTAACTTTTTAACTAGTTAATGCCCATCTTTGAATGTTATACAAAACATTTTATAATAATATATTATTTCCTCTTAATATATAATATATAATTATTAACTATCTTACAAAAATAACTGTCATATTTACAAGATAAAGTTAAATTAGTTATTATAAATTATAATATATTATGTTTGTGAACGCCTGGCAATGGGGGGCACAGACCGAAAGACCACTCGGTGTTAACCGAGAAAGAAATACCAAATTTGTATATTCTCAATACTGCCTACTGAATCGGGTTGATAGGCACTATACACACACCCGCCTGACCCAATGCCTATTAGTCGGGGTGATAGGCAATTATACACACGCCTGACCGACTGATTTCTACGCGGCGACGACACTATGGCGAGGATGGGAGGTGACGTACATACAGGGAATCAGGACAATGCAATTTAATTATGGGGAGGGGTCTCTGTGGTCGAATCGATTTGGTGCAATGACCACAGAGCTCACACAGATCAGGGACTTATACTTAACTTAAAATTAAGGAAGACTGCTATTTTCTGGTAGTCCCTCTGAGGATTGACCGGACACACTGGACGACCTGGGCGGCCTCTCACACATCGTATTTGTTGCTGGCGGACTTACGCATCGGCATTCTCATTTACTACGTTTATATGATGGCGTTAAAACGGTTACAACGCCATCTATAAAAAAGAGTTAAAACGCTCGTGCTATGTAGTTTAAAAATTTAAAACCGTTTTATTTGCTGAAACGTTTATATGTACATCTGATAAACCGGTTTAAGCAAATAAAACGGTTTTAAATTCTTAAACTACATAGCGCGAGCGTTTTAACTTTCAAAACGGTTTAGCCTTAACCGTTTTAACGCTATCATATAAACGTAGTAATTGGTCGTGACGGGGACTCCAGGGCAGCACCACACAATAATCGGGAGCTACTGACTATGTTGAGCAGATGAAAGGAGGTGATACAAAATAGTAACTTACAAGATGAGTGCTGAATTATGAAGGTCTTTATTTGCTTTTAATGATCACTGAAGGCCGTGCGTTAAAATATTGTATAATATATTTGATTGATGAATCACAAAAACAATAATAATAATTTTAATAAATACTATGGCGCTCAATGCGACTTAAAAAATACCAATGCAACGACGAAAAGCCACCGCTGCAATAGCGGGACAAGAAAAAGAATAATTTTTACGTACAACAATAATAATACGAAAAAACAACAAGGGCGTTGGCCGTAGAAGAAAAAAACAAAGAAAACATAATAGTGATATGAGAAAATGATAATAATATTGGGCACAAGTTGACCAATACTTATTTACACACAACGTGAAAACAAAGATAATAAATATACATAACATTTAGAACAATTTAAATAATTTAAGGACGGAGTGGTGTTTGGACGAGAAGGGAGATGTCGCCGTCGCGCAGAGTCGTCTTCCGCGATTAGCTAATTGCTTATTGCGCGAACAATGTTTATAATATATATGATCATATTCAGTATTTACATCTTACCTAGATCTACTCGTATGATTAATAGCTTCTATAATAGACATCTTTTGCTTCTCAGTTGGTTTTGACAGTCTACCACTGGTAATTAACCACTTTACCACTTTAAAAAAACACATACTTTACATTCAGGGCATGATAGAGGGCAGCCCATACAACTTCTGTATTTCATTAATCAACACAGAGTATAATGTTGGCCCAAATGATGACTGTACAAGCCATGTTTTCTCGTCAATTATTTTTATCTTGCTGTCCTCAATGTTGTTGCTTCGATGATGACTGTGGGCAATCTGCTCCATTCGGAATGTAGGTTTATTTTTTGCCATGCGAATGATTCGTTCAAACATTATATCCCTTGAAAAACTCATTAGAAAGCTAATACATTTGTCGACTCTCCTGTTCTGGTTTCCATGAATGTAATAATATTTAAGTTTTTTGTGCATGGCTTCTAAAAACATATTTGTATTTAAGGTGAGATCCCTTCGATAAAAAAAATTGCTCAGGTCGATGGGCATAGTGTTTTTCGAAGTAAGCACCAAAATTATGAGTGTCAATATCATCATAACATATTTGCCAGAAAAATTTCTAAAGACTCATGAAAATTTTCAATATGCGAAATTTCCATGAGTGTGCGGCAAGCTTTATATACTTCAGACTGCTTCATTGGGTCTGGTATTTTATTGAGGTTGTTTCTCCAGCTTCTGTCAATAAGCCAGTTGCAAATTAAATGGTGTTGAGGCTTGCCTATTATCTTTGTCTAGTAGTTGATATATGTCGGAGCATCATCAGACATCAATATTTTGGCAGGAATAAGACCCATTTTTCTTTTTACAGATTTAAAACACTGAGAAATAGCTATAGAACCAACCCTGTTCCTGATACAGAAAGCCACTGGACATCCAGCTCCAAATTCATCAATGGTAAGCATTGTTGTGAGCTGGAAGTCATAGTTGTTACATATATGGCAACAGTTTTCACCATTTTGTTTTGACAATACATATACACATAAAATGACAAAAAATACCATAAAAAATCAATAAATGCAAAATAAAAATTAGATATTTAGATTTGTATGTTATGGAAACAAATTTTTAGTTAACTGTACTTGAGTTCATATTTACAAAACACCACCACCAGTTGGTATTCTACTCAATGTTCGAGATAGTTCCCTAGTATTTTGTTAATAACTTACTCTGAACAAGTACCAGGTCTTTTTATGTATATAGTCGATATGTCTCCGTAGTGTTGTGGATCTAGCAACATTTTTGTAACAGATGGCAACAGTTTTCACCCTTTTGTTTGGATTTTTTATCCATATTGCACAAAAATATAAAATATAAATAAAATACTAATAAAAAATATAAGTGTAAAAAATATAGTAAAATGATAAGAGCATTAACTGAAAAATGTTTTATGTTATAGTGATAATGGAGAAGTGATAATAATGTGCATGGATCAGGGTGGTTTTGATCCGCACGTGAAATAAAGCCGGGTCCACACGATAATGGTAAAACGCGATAGCTGCTATCCCATCTATGATAGTCAAGATTATCCGTACGACTGTTGTAATCAAGAAATAATAATATATCTACGATCTACCTAGGTCAATGTGGTAGATAGCTTAGTAATTTTATAAAATATCACCTTATACAGTTATACTTCTTATTTTTTTGCCTCAATTCTTTCACAGTAGTTATGTTAAACGTTTTGAGAAGATTTTCTTCTGCATTATCTCTTTTTGTTCTCAATTTAAAATCATCGCTGTCTTCATCCCATAAACATGGTATCTTTTCATACTCTTCCAAAAAATCAAATTTATTGAATTGTTTAGTCATAACGTTAGCTTATAAGTACTTACTGAAGAAATAAAAGAAAAACAACACTTAAAATACTTAATTTATATGGCAGTAAGCAGAAGACAATTAATATTTAATAGTTGATATAGTCAATTAACAAATTACAATTTTCTTAAAATAAATTTAAATTGATAACCATTTATAACTACTTTCAAAATAGTCCGACCGTATACGTTCATACGGTGATATTTGGTGATAGTGACCACTTCTCTCATGATAGCAACTCTCACACTATCAAGCACGCCTGATAGTACAAGAGTTACTATCGCAATAGTTTGATAGTGACTATCAACCTGTTCACACGGTGACACTCTCATGATAGCAGCTTCCACGATAGCAACTATCGCGTTTTACTATCATCGTGTGGACCCGGCTTTAAGCCTAATATACAAGGTTGTTGCATTTATATGCCTTCTTGATCAAATATTTGATGATAAAAACAAAAATGGCAGCCTAAAGGGAACCAATAATAATCAAGTATACATGCGAGGGAATTTTGAATTTGTTAGCTTCTGTAAGCTTGTATTTGATGATAAAAAAAATTTATATTTGTGATATCCCTTTACGCAGCCATTTTGTTTCTAATGATAACAATCGGAGTCAATATGCAATAACTTGTATATTTCAACCATGGTTGGTACCTAATTTGTTATGTATTTCTTAAAACATTTGCCATAAACGTATTTAAAGAATTACAAAAAAAATCAATATTTTTTATGAGTTACCAGTGGATATTAAAATATTGGATGGAGAATTTTGCATATAATTTTTAGTTGAATGTTTTGTGTAGAATATATTGAATGATCGGTAGTTTATTGGATTTATTTTAAAATTTATAATTTGCAGTAATATTCTGAACAATCCATAATATTATTTAATAATTTAAACAAAAACTTTAATTTAATTTGCATAAATTGTTGTTCTAGCGACTGCATATTAAAAGAACGGATTATAATATTTTAGTCAGAATTGGGTGCTCTAGAAACGAAACACATAAAAATCTGATAAAATTATTTTGAATTTCGTTTAAATCTTGGATTTGTGTTACTAAATATGGATGCAAGATTAGGAGGGCATAATCAAAATGTGAACGGATTAACGAGTAGTATAATATTTTTAATGCTAATTAATTTCTAAAATCTCGACAGGTTCGTTTTAAAAAACCTAACTTTGCTGACACTTTATTCCTAATAAAAAGTATATGGTCCTTGAAAGATAGTTTGGAGTCAAATTTTACCCCAAGATCGTGTACTGTAGAGACTCTTAATAAATTTATATTACCCAAAGAATAATTAAATCGTATAGGCTGTCTTTTTAAAGAAAAAGTAATATAGGAACATTTTTTTAAATTTAAGTGCATAGCATTTAGTTGGCACCATTTTTACATATTTTTTAAATCTAACTGCAGTTTATCAGCGTCATTTAAGCAGCTGATATTTTTTAATCATCGGCTAATAATAAGATTTTAGAATGAAAATATCATTTATAAAAAATATCTTTAATAAGTATGTATTTAAACTATTAAAATATAAAATACTCACAACTTGAAAATTAAAGTATTGTAAAGAATCAACAAGAACAGATAGTGTTCTTACCTTTAAGTTTTATCTTAGGACTTAGGTCAATTAATGATATTGTTATAATTTATTTATTGTTGTACGATTGTAAAATGGAGACATGTGTGTGCTGTGTGGGAGTGTGGCATCTTTTTAAGATGACCTTTAATGATTTTTCAATTTTATTTAGGGTAAAAATATCTCCTGATGTCTTGGAAACCTTCAGCACGTCGAATATAAAGTTCAGCTCATCCTCGAAGTATATACCGTTTTATTATTCTTAAATTATCATTTATATTATTTAATTATAGTTTATAATATATTATAATATAGTCTAAGAAGTATGCGCAATGATAAGACTACGTATATTTTTTTAAGGGTCAATTTATAGTTTATATAATTATATGCAACCAACAATAAACACAAGGTGACGTCACGCGTATACATTTATTCTTAATATGCACAAAAACACAAGGCAATACACGCGCGCTATCTAGAACAAAAACACGGTTCGTGTTGAGCAATGAGCATACTTCTTATTTCATATACTATGGTATTGACACTCGACCTCAATACCTCGTAACCAAATTACATCTTTATATTCACAATTTTGACTATCGTGATATCTTAAAAGTAAGCCGAAGACCATTGACGTCCACACTTTCGTATGTCTGGTTGCTGTTGCCCCCGTAAATGCGGCCGTTGAGGCCATTGAGCGGCTAACATTGAGGGATAACGTTGAACTCGTCGCCACGTATTTTGCTTTACTCGTCGTCTTGTCAATTGTTTTTACTTGTCAACACCCAGCACTGTGCTACTGCTCGTTACGACAGACATGCATCGTTGCTGAATAATCATTATAAACACAACCACACGTAAATATTTATTTGTTTATTTATATAATTCATACGGACACAAAGTCCAATTACAAATACAATTGTTTATCTTAGATAAATTCACATTAGTTTTAAATTCGTAAAAACTATTAAAAGGATCAATATTGTACATAATATTAGCTATACTCACTGAAGTACTAAACGGTTAATTGGTTCATTTGATACTAATTGAGTACCTATTTATTAAAGACGAATAAGACAAATTTACATCTCTTAAACTAATTTTATTTACTTTAAAACTAATCATACATAATAATTTAGGACATTAAATTAAATTATTAAGTAATTTAAAGAAAAAAAATAAGTCCAGTTATTTACTGGTAATTAATATTTTACATGCACTCTGGAGACATTTTTGGAGAATTGAGAATGTTGAAAAACATTGTAAACAATTGGTATACAAGAGTATGTAACATAAATAAAGCAAATACACTTGAAAAAACCATGTATCGTGTAAAATGTTTAGTCTGCAATTAATTTGTAAAGGAGTTGTATAATATGCTTCTATGTATGCTTCTAATGTACACGTTTAACTAACACCTGTAATAAGAATCTGTCACTTCACTACTTTAGTGTTCTAATAATATATAAATGTATATATCATATTATTTCTATATATTTTAATCTAAAGTATAAATTATAAATTTCTTATTAATAAAATTATATAAGGCAGTATCAGAAATTGCAATTTAACATTTCAATCATGATATAATAGATGATTTCAATAATATACAAATGTGCAATATTATATTTGATTTTTTTCAGATTTGGTACCTACATACTTTATTATACTTCAAATAAACATTATGGATGTGAAACTACATACAAGTAAGGCATTAATTACTGTAAAAGAAGAACCAGATGTAAAAGAAACATTTGTAAAGCGAGTTAAACGCCGAGGGCGCCCAAAACTCGTGTCTCAACAAACACCATTCTGCCCTCCGTTCATGGTCAGATGTGACAACGATCGACCACATTTCAATTACCGTACAGTATGGGCATGTAGAATTTGCACCAAGATATTATTGAGTGAAGCTGCCGCCATAAGCCATGCTGCTATATGTAAGCTAGCCATTACAAAAGAAGAAGATATTCCAATTGCAGATTTGAAGTAAGATTAAGTGGACATTTCTGTTTATTATTTACAGTTAAAATTTTACAAAATGTTTAAAATAACTACTTAACATTTTTGTTTTCTAGTTATATGGAAAAAAACATGTGTTATCCGTGCAAATATTGTGATAAAAAAATGCGGAGAAAAGTGATCTGGCTAAAGCATTTGAACGAACATGAGACACCAGATTATGATAAAAATAATTGGGGTGTTGATATACTGATAAAAAAATTGAAAAGGCCAGACAAAGTCTCAAAACAAATGAAACAGGAACCTGACTTTAATCCTTCTACTTTATAAGTAACTGAATTGTGCCTTTATTGAATACATCATAAATCATAAATCAATTTCTAAATTTGATTACCTACTATAAAAAAATTATTATACACAGTAAAAATATCTACCTTAAAAGTAAATTTGTCCTATAGAGACCCCATATTTTGTATAATTGAATAACATTTTAGAATGCATTTAGTTCTAATTAGTTTAACAAAAGGAATATTGCATTAAATAAAAAAAAATTGTAATTATTTAAAATTGTAAAAATAATCTTACTTTAGTTAATATATTTTAGATTTTTAGTGGAACGATGAATGTATTGATTTTATAATGAGTGTTTTTTTTATCTATACACTTTTTAAGTAAAAACCAAGTTTTAATTTTTAACTCTAATTTAAGTAGTAGATTTAAAAATTGAATTTAAGAAATATATTTTTAAATGTGGACCTTTATTTTACAATATTACAATATTGTCACCTTGAATCTTAGGAGATTGTAAATTCTCGGTAATAAAAAGCTAAATTTGTAATCCAAAATATATTTAACAAACTCACTATATGTTAGTATTAAAAATAGATATATGATATAAGCAAGTAATATTTTCTAAAAATAATTATAGGTATTTTTTTAAATGTTAGTTACTGCTTACTATTAAAGGGTGGATGTTGGTATATTTTAACTTAAACATTAAAAGCTGCAGAGTAGGATAGAAATTTATTTTGTAAACTTTAAAATAAAAATGTAAAATATTTTAATAATTCTTGTTTTTGCATCATGATATTTTATTGATTTTAGTTTTGATATGAGTTTATGACATATTGGGCTTGACTAGTCTTGATCTTCATCGTATACAAGATCTATAAAAGAAATATGCTTAGAATAGATTATGTTTCTACTTAAAATTATATATTTTCCCTTTAAAGTAGTATTGTATAATCAGTGATTTCTTTAGATTTTCAAACTTCAAAGACCTTCTGTTTGATGCCAACAAAGATTTATATAAAGAAAAGGAGAGTTTTACGCCTGACGAAGTAGTTGAGGCGAACTTGAAATACGTCATGTCGCTACTGATTAAATCTTCTGGTATATCCAAACCTACGTTCTCTTTTTCACCAGTTAATATTTTTGATTTCACATAATTTGAAATCCTTTGTTTTTGTTGAGAACAGTTTAATCTCGACTTCAATAGTACAAGATTGACCGAAAAAATGTAAATGTTACGATAAATGATTTATACAAAAAAATCATTAAAACAAGCATTTATATGCCTTTAGGGGCCTCGCTACTGCCGTCAATTTTAGCTGAAATAACTTAAAATATTGACTAAATTAAAGTTAGTTAACGATGTCCGATTTTGATTCTGAAAAATAATTTGAACTCACAGAAAATTGTCTATAGATCCTATGAAGCACTTTGTAAAAACTAAATTTTATATTATTGTGAACTGTAATTGAAAACTTGAAAATATGAACTTTTTCGAATCATAATTAAAATTAAAAACGTAAAATGTTCCGTACGATCTACAGACATTTTTCTGCTGAATTCAAATATTTTTTCAGAATCAAAATTAGACAACGTTAACCAACTTTAATTTTGTCAAAACAAATGTATGTTTTTGTAAGATTCGTGTAGTGAAATTTATATGGATATCGAGTTTTTGACATGTGCACTCGCGTACGCGAGAGGATACCCCCATTTATTTTCACTCACACTAATAATCATTTACTACGTTTACATGATACGAGTTGAACCGTTCTTAATTGAAACCGATTTTATTATGAGTCGATCTAAATTTCCTGACCTGTTTACATGTATCTTTAATATAAAAATTGGTATGTTATAAAATTCATTATTCCATGAAATTGATATTTCTTTCCATCTCCATTATCATATTGAATACTTATCAATAATCAAATATTAAAATTTGAAATATTTAAAATATTTAAATATTAAAAAATGTAATTTGTTTCTTAAATTTTTAATATTTTTTGTTTATTATTTAAACGTTGACTTAAAATGAATTCTATACAAGCAATCGCTTGTTTAAACCTGTATAAACTTAAATGCGAGGCGGGTCGTAGTAAATGTAAACTCTCATTACTACGCCGTCGACGACAATTTAAAAAAAAAATGATGTACCTTCAAATGACTTTAGAAATAAATAATCAATTCATGTACAATATGATTACTTTTAATTTGAATCATATGAGTAGAAGGATGTGGATGAAGGTATGCAATATCAATACCTTTTAATTTTTTTCTAATAATCAGTCGCCGTTATAATTTGAATGTATGATATTTAGAACAGACGCTCCGATTTTTGGGACAGGATAGTAAACAGCAACTTTGAAGAAGAAGATTGGCTCGAAAATTTCAGAATGAGTAAAGAAACATTCCAATTAATGTGTTTCAAGTTGAATGATTTTCTTAAACCATCTGAAAATGCTGTACGTCAACCATTGAGTGTAGAGAAAAAAGTGGCTATTGCTTTATACAAATTGGCATCATGTGCAGAATATAGGGTGGTTGCAAGTTTATTTGGTGTTCATAAGAGTTCTGTGCATAATTGTGTGTATGATGTTTGTATTGCTATTATTGAGGTACTTGGTCCATCTTATTTAAAAATGCCTTCAGTGGTAGAAGCAATAGCTTTGGCTGAATCAGTAGAAAAAGTAACTGGAATGGTACAAATTTTCGGAGCTATAGATGGAACACATATACCTATATTACCACCTACTAATGGATATCGTGATTTTGTCAATCGTAAAGGTTGGCCATCTATAGTTATGCAAGGTATTGTTGATTGTAATTATTTGTTCAGAGATATAACAGTAAAGCACCCAGGTTCTGTTCACGATGCTACTGTTTTAAAAGACTCCAATATATTTAAACAGTCTAAAGATAAATTACCATATCATTGTCGCATTATATCTGATTGCTCTATTCAACTGATGTTAGCTGGAGACCCTGCTTATCCTTTATTACCTTGGTTGCTAAAGGGTTACACAGGAGCTCTTACACCAGAGGAAGAGTCATTTAATACTTACCTATCATCTGCAAGAATTTGTGTTGAAAATGCTTTTGGCCGTTTGAAAGCTAGATGGAGAGTGTTGTTGAAAAGAGCTGATATTAATTACAAATTCATGCCTAGTATAGTACATAGTTGTGTCATATTACACAATATAATTGAAACTTCAAAAGATAATTTCAATCCATGCTGGTTAAGATCTGTCAATGAAGTTAATATTGAAAGACCACAACCTCGACAAGTAACAGTTACTCGGGCTGAACCACAAGCAAAGGATATTCGTGAAGTCTTAAAAAACTATATGTATAATAACTATCCATTAAGACAATCATCAGTACAAAATTATGTAAGACATACGGTTTAAAACATCTTAATTAAACATTTAAAAACAAAATAATTAACTTAATACTTTTTTGTCTTATTGCATTATTTCCCAGTCTTTGGTTTACAATTTTTTAGTTATTTTAAAAATATATACATAATGGTAATTAATTAATCTCTAGGCTTCAGTAAACTAGTCAGAAGGCTAGTAAATTCCTTTTTATCTTTCTGCGCTTGTTCTTGGTCAGCTTTTAATAGTTCTTCCTCCCATTTTCTTTGTTTTTCATTTTCTTCTCTAATAAAATCTTTATGCCCTTCCATAGTTTTATTAAAAGAATCCATCAGGTTCAATAAGTCGCCAGAATCTAAAATATAGGCAAAATAAATGCATAAAAAAAAAAGTAATTTTGTATAGAAGGAAGTTAATTTACTTCTATTTTTACGGCGAAATTCCCTTTTTTGAGATAGAGTTTTTGTTTCTCTGTTTTGTGTTGAATTTGTGTCCAACTGGTCCTCTTGTTGATTTTTAAGACATATTGTATTGGCATCAGTGCTGGATTTATCAGGCTTCGAGACTGAGTTAATTTTAGGGGCCTCAGGTTGAAGTCGTAATTAATCTAACTTTGCACTTTTTTATTTTACTCAATAGTAAACTATTAAACTGTTAACCATGTATCAATTGGGAAAAGTAACCATTTAAAAAATAGTTAATACATTTTTGATTTATTTTGAACTTATTGAATACTTGTCCTTATATAGTTTTACTTCAATATTTAAAAGTACAATTATGAATGAAATTAAATTTATTCTTAAATAACAATGACATCAAATTTAAATAAGTAGGAATTTATATTAACTTATATTTCTAAATATTTAGTTATAAAGTTACTTGAGGGGTTACTTGTATATATATAGGTCAAACTGGCCTACTTGGGGTAGGTGCTTAGCTTAGGGCAAAAATATTATCTATATAATAAATTAATAAACCAAACCTTAACTAAAACCAAAATGTTCCATTGAAAATACATCTATGTTGATTAATCTTAAGTTAATGTACAATATATTATTTAATATCAAAACTGCCCCAAGTTGGCCCGTTTGACGGTCGTTTCTTTAACTCAAAAACTAAACAAAGGTCCTTACCAATTTCTTTTGTCGAGTCTGTTCCAAAGTCCAGTGGTTTTATAGATGGTCGAGTTCCTAGGACTTCATCTAATTCTTTTTCCGATTCACAGGACATTCGGTTGCTTCCACTTACTTTGTTGATGCGGTTCTTCTCAGAATAGCCACTCTTGAGCGCCTTCCACTTGGCTCGAACTTGAGCAACCGTTTTAGATGACCCTATTTTTTCTAGGTCGAGTCTTACAATTTCATAAATCTGGGAGTCAGGAAAATTAGTTTATACAACTATTTTATTTTAAATTTCATTAGAAAATCAGTTTTGTTACTTACATCTGCGTTTCTATACCTTTTCCCATCAAGGAGTTTCATTATGTTATTTTCTTTTACAGAATCAACTAATGTAGTTATTTCTGCAGCACTCCAACTGCATCTTTTGTTGGCGTTATTCATTTCTAATTAGTAAGTTCTTTATTAAATAAAACTAATATAAGTAATAATTAAACTTTCGTAGTTCGATTTTCGTCAGCAGAATAAAAGAAGTTAAGATGTTAGGAACTTAGGATTTATATTTTACGTATGTTATACGCACGATTTAAGATTTAAATCGTGGTTATACGTGAAAATAAAATCTGATTAATCTGTACTATAAATAAAATATCATGGTATTATGTTATCACTTATCAAAATAAAATAGATCGATTTAGAGTGTTTACATGTACAAAAATACAGCCGACTTTATTAATTAAACCGATTTAATTTGGTTAAACCACATATTCGAGCGTCCTTAAAATAAAAACGGTTTATGTTATTAAGGTCGCTTTAAAGCGTTTACATGATGCATGATTAGACCGCTTTAGTTTTTAAACCGACTTTAATTGTGCATGTAAACGTAGTAATTTACTACTAACACATAAATCCCGAGCGGCTATGACAAGATTAGGAATTGCCTAAATGTTGCCCCTTAAATAATGACTGTAGGGAGGCCCCTTAGCCCAAGAAATATGCAAAAATATACAAAATAAAATTTGGTATTTGAACTATAAATAAGTTAAAACAAATTTTGGCCGAATCCATTTTATTATACCGTGTAACAAAAAAAAAAAAAAATGCATTAAATTAATTCACAGCCCTAAAATGAGGCTAAAAACAGCCATTAAATGAATCATTATAGAAACCAGTTGGAAAGGTGTATAATCATAGATTTCAGGAAAATAGGCGTTCCATGCAAGACCTGAAAAAATAATCTAGACATATTAGTGCATCTTCTGTATTTAAAGTCATAAATTGTATCGACGTAATTTGTATAGAGAACAGTTGTTAGAAAGCAAAGTGTTTTCGTTTCAATCGAAGAAAAAAAAATGGCTCTAAACGTCAGATGGTGGACAGCGGAAATATGCAAGTCGTTAAATTTGAAGATCTATTAGAAAGATTCATTTGGAAGCTTTAGTGGCCGGAGATTACGCCGAAGGTGATTTAGGCTTTAGAAGACCTATTCGTAATGTATTCGGATAAAGATATAAATTATTTGGGTCATGCAGGTTTATCTGCTAATTTTCATGTTCATAGCGTAGAACAATTAGGTACATTTATTAAAAACTCTTGATTCAACAAAACCAGTAACTGATTATTTGGACGCTACCGGTCGTAAGAAGGACTGAAAGAAATCCCAAGAGGGTCCTCTACTAACTACTAATGGCGTCTTTTCAACTGCCATGTAATTCAAGTGTAAATTGTGCAATAGTAGAAATGGTTAGAACAGCCCATGACGTTTGCGGATTATGGTAAAGGGTATGATGAAAAAATTTAAGTTTCTAATAATAATAATATTCTTATGCCATTTAGGGTTAATGATAATCATTGGATATTATTAGTTATAAATGTAAAAATGAAAATATTTACTGTTATGGATCCATTAAAACAATTGAACGAACTAAAGATACGAGAATCATGCAGCATTGTTGAAATTTCACCACCCCAAAAATGACATCGCATTATTGCAGAAGGAAGACTGATAGATTGTATCTTGAAGGACCGTTCTACTACAAGCAAGAAATTATGGATGCTTACAAATTAAAATGTGTTGAAGATAGATTAGTTCCAATAAGCAACTGTTATTTATCAAACTTTATGATTAAAAATAAACTCTCTATTTATCACCCAACAAAATATAAATGTGATTTTTGACCCTCTTTTCATATCGGCGAAGTTAACGAAACTGATTATGCTGAACACATTGCCCATGAGGGGGCAAGAGAAGGATACAAAACTGGCCAAAGAAAAAAAATCTTGTACTGTACTTACAATTGATTGTCAAGCAGTTAAGCTTTGTCCTGTACTGCAAACAAGTTCATTGTATTATTCAATGAAGTTAAAAGTCCATAATTTGACAATTTATAATATTGCAACTGCAGATTGTCAAAATTACTGGTGGCACGAAGGTAATGGTGAACTAGAGGCTTCAGTTTTTGTATCTATAGTCAAATATTGTTTGAGTGAAAAAAAACCCATAATCATATACTCTAATGGTTGTGTGTATCAAAATCGAAATGTGATTATGGCGATTAATGCATTATTACATTTTGCAATAAACATCAAGTAACTATTGAGCAAAAGGATCTTGTTAAAGGGCAAACCCAAATACAGTGTGTCAGTGTCGGAGTGATTTTTTTTTCACCGGGGCGCAAAATATCTAAATGCGGCACTGATAACCTCTATAAGAAACCATTAAGTATCACTTTATCAAAATATCAAAATCTTAAAAAACTCAAGCAATTTCTTCCACCAGACACACATTCATTTTATGACAGTTTAGAGCATGCTTCATCTTTTAAACCTAAGAAGGGTAAAATTTAATATTATTTTATTCAATATTAATTTAAATTTGTATATTGCTTATTATTTTATATGAAACTAAAAGACTGGTTTAGACAGTTAAATTTAAATTATTTACAAAATAGTAGTTAAAATTAATTTGAATTATTCAATTTCACCTTTTGGAGGAGAAACAGCCTGTTTTGTTGACGATGAAAGGGCATCTCTCATCATCACATAACACTGCCATTTAATCCCTCCACTTCCAGAGCGCTTTGACGAAACCGAGATAGCAAACGTCTCCACTTTTCGTCACATTGGTATGCTCCAAAATTATAATTACTCCGCTTCATTTAATCTGCAACTTTTTTCTATAATAATGCTTTTTGACCTTTTTTTTCAAACTGAGCAGTATTCGGTCCTCTCAAGCCAATAAGTATTTTTGTTGCTGATGCTGTTCATGCACCTATAAAATAAAAACCGTGATTAAATTATTATTTCTAACATTCCAATTAATTAAACACATGATTATTTCTTGAATATCATCATATGGGAGAAAATCCACCAATTCTTCTTCACAAGGTTATATAAATTTGGTAATTCGTAATATGATTCGTGCGTGATTTATACAATACGTGGATTGAGGACAGCATAAGAAATTGTCATGTAATTATTATTAATAGAAAATTATGTATTAAAATAGATAATCTTATAATAATTAAATGAATATGCTAAAATGCCCGTTGTCATCAGTCGACACTACGGCCTCTGTAATAATCCTCATTATTAGTATATAAATAATTGTATAATTATGTAGTTACTGACATTCGTCGACTTTGCTAAAAGTCCATATTATAGGAAAGCGTGTGCACAGATCAAAGGTGACGAGTAGAAATAGCCACACCTTTAGATTGTACGGACGTCATCATAACAAGGTGACTCCGCGTAGCATAAATAGGAAAGTCATAGACAAACTCGGGGAGTCGAATACAAGAGACGACGAGAGTGTGTACTTCTAAATTCAGTACGGACGTTTGTTATGATTTAATAAAAATACTTTGATTATACGAACATTTGTGTATCTTTATTATACTTCTAATTCTATTTCGAGTGCTGAAGCGGACACGTTACAACATTTTGGTGGCAGGGGTGGGATACGAACCCACGTCTCCGAGGAGACCTATTTGTATTTGTATTTTATTTTATTAATATCGCTTCAAATACAAAAACGAGCTATCAGCAAAATTTTCTTATTTAGATCCAAAATATTTTAAACAAATTAATTTTTGCCCAAATCAGCTTTTGAAAAATCATGTAATTCGTAAATTCTTTTAAAAATGACCCAAATACTATCAAAATCAAACTACATATCTGAGAGAATAATTAGTAGACTTTAAAAAAAAAAAATTACCACAATTTAGATACTCGTTAAATAATGAAATAAAAAATTTACATAAAACACAAATTCAATATGATATAGAAGAATCTATATTGAAGAAGAGGAAAAGAAGGAAAACCATTTTGATATTGACTAACAATGATGTGATGATGCAATGTTGCAATGATCAAAGAATAAACGTTATTTTAATTGCATATTTTGTTGTTTCAATATTTTAGTACAATATAAATTGTATTTAAATGCATATTATAATTTATTTATAGCTTATAGGTATGTTTAAAGCTTATCTTCAACTAAAGTTGCACGCGAAAGAAGTTTTTCTACGTTAAAGTACATAAAACACTTTTAAGGAACCGTTAAACTGATGACCGTTTGGAGACTATGATGTTAATGCATATAAATAACGACATATTACTACCCTGGTCACGATTTACTAAATGCTCAACTAATTTTGTAAATATTTCAGTCATTTTTTCATTAAATCTCCTAAGTTGTAAAAAAGCACAATTGGTAGGAAATTTACTTTTGCTTAAATATTTTATTTCCATACTATTGATTAGTGTACACATCAACAGCAAACTTTTGATAAGCAAACATTTCCAGAAAATTATCTTCATTAGTTATTTAAATATTTTCATGCTTGAAATAATTATTAGCCCGATTTTTTTATTTTATTATTATTTTATTTTATTATTTTGCTGCTTCAACAACTAAAAGGGAACTCCTTGAAAATTGCTTTAAACTTTCTAAAGTAGTTTCTACCATACAATGCGCTTGAAGAACATCCATATTCTGAGTTTGTAAATATTTAGAAAGTGCAGAGGAATGAACAAACATTTTTAAGATACATATTAGCTGTGGCAATTGTTTCAAAATTTGTAAAATTATCAAGAAGCGTCCTTGTATTGTATTTTATTTGAGAGTTGAGTGTATCTGATAGAGACATTTTATACAATGCAATTAAAAGAGTCAACAATATTGGATTTTTTTCATTAGAGTCGTTAAAAGTACCAAAGATTATTTTTAAAGCATTATCTTTAGACCGCCATCTAGTTTGAGCTATTACAGATATTGTTTTTATACCAGTTTCTGAGAGTAAATCTTTTAAAATATTCATACGTACGTATGATTTTCAAAAAAAAACTGCATACGAATTTAATTGCCCAAATAAAAGTAATTGAATAATGATTTTTTTCTGTTACCAACTTATTTTATTTGACCTACTTATTAGTGGTTCTTTTGGATACACTAATTATGTATATTAAACATTACATTTTCCACCGACCAATTCCATATTCCCAAAGGGGAATACACGCGGTGCAGCTTGTAGGTATCAAGTTAAGTATTCTCCTTAACTTGTGAGTGGTTTTCAGGTTTTAAAAGAACCTGTAATCTCACAACATTAACCATAATTTTTTAAATACTACATTTATTTAGATGTACATTTCAATTTAAAATTCAATCCACAAAAATCTTTACAGTTTTAACTATAATCTTGTTCGGTGTTCTCAACACGGAGCAAACTATTTTGGCATTCAAAATTACATAAAATAAACAATTTATATTAACTTCAATGCATATATTGGTTTATGTATTTATTTAATTGGCATTAATGGTAAATTTCCAAATATAATTGATATATTCTGTATAATTCTATTTTCTTAAGTATAATATATTATACTATTTATGTACTATAGAGTTAAGAACCCATCTGACCAAGTCCTAATCTTTAAACATAAGGTAGGTACTTAAATACAATGACAAAAAATTAATGGGACTGTCCTAATCCTGAATTAGAGTAAAAACTAATCTAAGTTCAGAATATTACACAAGACTCATTAGGTACCTATAATGAGGTACCCAAAACCAGTCACTATTTGCTGTTTCTACGAATGCAAATGATGATTTCACTGACAATGATTTTGCTTCTGTCTTAGTGTCTGACCAAATAGATACCAACTTGGTTGGAGTCCAATTAATCTAAACATCTACAATGATACATTTATAATACCTACATAAAGGAAATATTTTTAGTAATCTCTGATATATTTACCACAATTAGTGACTTTGTTTATTTCTTGTAGATTTAAGTTACGCGTCAGAAACATCATCTACACATAAGAATCCAAATAGTCCAATCTCTATAGTTTTAAAATTAGAATCTGGACAATTAGATACCAAAATAGAGACAAACCATTCACATCAGGGGGGTGTAACCCATCGGCAGTAATTGGCACCGTATAGTTTCATGGCCCAGCCACCGGTCGCAGCACATGCGTGAACTATTACATTGATGTTTGATGAGGTTTGTCTGAGCAGTGGACTACACTACAATTTAACATCTGACCAAATTGATGGCTTTGTTGAAAATGACACGACAAGAAACCAAGAATACGCTGATCACGCATTGGTATTTATGGTGCGTGGTATAAAAAAAAATTTAAGCAACCAGTGGCATATACATTTTGTCAAGGAGCTACAAAACAACATGAACTGGCATGTCAGTTGAAAGAAGTAAGAATGACAATAACAAGTGTATTTTATGTAAAATATTTATTTTAAAATAAATTGTTTTTAAAAGGTTATTAAACAAGTAAACAAAGTGGGCTTACAAATATTGGCAACTATTTCTGATCAAGGGCGAACTAATGAAGGAGCAATTAAACCTTTAATAACAGAAACCTGCAAGGGTGCTTACATTAAAAGGAATGAAGAATATAGGGATGATATTTATGAAATAGAACTAGACGACCACAAGACCATGAAGATAGTTTATATTTTTGATGTACCCTATCTAATGAAGTGCATACGTAACAATTTACTTACTTGGTATTTTGTATGGATGGGAACGAAGGACGTGCAAAATGGTCACACATTCGAGAAGTGTATGAAATTGATAACGCTATACCAGACTGTAATATGTTGCCCCGATTGACTGACCTACATGTTGTGCCAGAGAAGATACTAAAAATGAAAGTGAAATGTGCGACACAAGTATTTTCTCAACGTGTATCATCTATAATGCTGTTTTTAGCCTGTAAGTGTTAACAATTATATTATGTATGAGTAGTTAGTTTGTTTTTGATTCCTATTTATAATTACTATTTGATCTTTTAAATTTCTGTTAACAGCTAAAAATTTAATTGAATCGAATGCCAAAGACACGGCGAAAATCTGTTTATTTTTTGATCAATTATTTGATTCATTGAATGGCAGTTTTGATGGAGTTGTAGATGGCAAAATATATCATACAGCTGTTAAAGCTAAATCTCCTCATCATGCACTTTGGTTTAACAGTCTGAAGGTGCTTTCCACAATGCGTTTTGTTAAAGATGGGAAAACATCTTTTACCCCAACATTGAAAAACTGGGTGACAACAATACGAGGTTGGTTTACCACATAATTATTATTTATTTTTATTAAATAAATATATATTTATCTAAATTAATTTTCCATGTATGTTTTAGGTTTTCAAACACTTTTTAAAACATTATAAACAAATGGCATTCATTCGCTTTTACCACGGCATGTTAATCAAGATTCGTTGGAATCTTTTTTTGGAGCAGCTCGCAGTGTCAGTTCAAGCAATCCGTCGTGTAATGCATTTGCATCTGCTTATAAAACATTGCTTTTAAACAATTTGATGTCACCAAATTCACCTGGTTCAAATTGTGAGGATATGGTTGAAGCTAGTTTGACGTCATACAAACATCTATTTCAAATTAATCCGGATGAATTGGTCAAGGTAAATAATCAATTTACGTCAGTTGACCTACCAGTTACAATTTATAATCCAACAGTAGCCATCAATGATATACGTGGACAGGTTCAAACTTACATAGCTGGTTATATTTTAAAAAGGTTAAACAAAAATATATTTAAAAACTGTCACAATTGTTTGCGAAATCTCTGTGTTGACAACATTTCCAGTGAACATAATATCATCATGGCTAGAGAATATACTTCTCAACTTTCATTGAAATACCCATCTACTTCATTCGGTTCTTTGGTTCAACAGATTATAACATTTTATTGGTTAACAAATGTCAACAATTTGTCATCATACAAATAATTGAAAAACACTGAGTACAGATATTAAAAATAATTTCAGTTTTAATAGTCTCTCTCTTTGTAATAATCATGGTGAAAATCTTGAGAAAAGAATTATTGATACTATTGTTAACTTGATGGTTAACCACTGGTGTACTGAAGTAAATAGAATTTTATTAGGAAAAAAAATTCATAAGTTGGAAATTGACCCAATGAAACTGAAAGCAAATACTTGGTATTTAAAATATAGCAAAAAAGTTAAAACCACTGTTGGAAAATTCAATCACATTCCATAATACTAATATACTTAGGTATACTACTCAGTTTTAAATCATGAATCTCAAATCAAAATTAATTTACTTTGAATATTATTATTAATTTATATACGTGTATGTTTAAAATATTGTGCATTTTAACATATTTATTGTTTTTATTTAATTAATACTAGTACTTGTAAACATACTTGTTATATAATATTATAGTAATTAATAAGACTGATACTTAAAATGTGATGATTTAATTAATTATTTGTAATAACAAATATTTAAATTGCTCAGTATTATTTAACATTATTATATCGTCTCAACATTAAAATGTATACGATAATATCTAATTGTTATTATTTGTAATTTGCTAAAATAAATTCCTTTGTTTATATTATTTTGAATATTGCTTCTTTTTTTGTTTAATACATTTTTATATTTTATTGGTTGGTATAAATAATTGCAACATATTTTATATTGCTATAATGGTCACACTGTTTTAGTATCTTGGCCCAACCACGAGGAGCGCTTAGCGCAGTCCCGGTTTTTAACATTGAGTTGGCTATCTATAAAGGTATTCCAATCTATGATTTACATCACCCCCATTGTTTGACGCCAGTATTTGAAACAATGTTAACCTACTAAAATAGTAATTCCAAAAAATAAATTATACATGATTATTAATTTTTACTTCAAGGTCAGTGTGATAGGATTCCAGTACACAAATATTCAAAGCCCAGAAAGTTATTTAAAATACCACACCACATACCTTAGTATTTTGTGACACAGACTGTACAATTTATACTTACATAAAAAAATTTCAGTTTACATTAAAGAATTTGTAATATATATTTTTAGGTCAACCATCAATAAAAGATCACAGTTTAGAATTATGTGAGAGTACAACAGATATTAGAGCCTATCAAAATAATATTCAACTAAGAACTTGCAACTGTTGATATTAAGAAAAAAGTATAAAGAAAAATTAAAAAACCGAGGACTTGTGAACACGCGTATTCTTCTATCCAGAATAATATTTTATTGAAAATACAAATGAGGTTAAATAAATTCAAAAAACTAGACTGGCGGTATAAAGAGAACGAATAATGTTTTGCTTTGGCCTTAATTATATATTCACCTAAAGCCTGCAATTTTATGAGAAAATATTTATGCTTACCTTCAGTTAGAAGTTTGAGAAGACGGTTACAGATGTTTCTTGTGGTATTAACAACAATATTTTACAAATATTAGAAAAGACATTTGAGTCTCAGCCAAAATCCGAAAAAATTATTTCAATTGCTTTTTATGATATGTCATTAAAACAATTAGTGTCATACAACTCACAGAACGACACACTATATGGGTTCAAAAATTGATTTTAAAAGTACTAAAAATTCTAATCAAGTTCTAGTAATTATGATAAAAGGCATTAAATCTTCTTGGGAGCAAGTCTTCGGTTTTACTTTTCATGTGGAGCTATTTCAGGAGTGCAATTAAAATTTTTGGAATTATAAACAAAACACCCTATATAATGTAGTGTATAAGTAATATATTCACACTGTAGTTCAGCAGACGCTGACTATACATTTTTATAATACTACAGCATAAATGTCTTGTGTAGTGTAGCCGGGTATACATATTACATAGTTAGTCGTTGATTTATATTACGCCTCGTAACACTATTGTACATCGTATCATTATACTTATTATTATATTATATATAATAGGTGATTCTTTTATTAAACAACACTCATTAATCATTATTTCAAAAAGTGTAAATTTTTTTGAAAATATTTTTTTACATAGTTTCAAGTCGCTTATAAAACAACGTTTTTATAAAAAATTATATTTTTAAATATTTTTTATCCTTATAATTTTTTATGTTTTTTAATTTTTTAAATGACAACATAGGGTTTTAATTTTATATTCTAAAGTAGAAATTTTTCTTATTATTTTGATACATTAAAATCGAATTTGAGGCGAGTAGTTTACGAGTTATAAGTATTTAAAGTTTAGACGAGCGGGGTGGAGTGGTTCGGGGTTACCCGCGAAATGTTTGTCCACTTCACCACTCATCAAACTTTGAATATTTATAACTCATAAACTACTCAACCCAAATTCGATTTTCATGTATCAAAATACTAAGCAAAATATTCTGCTTTGGAATATAAAATTAAAACCCTATGTTGTTATTCAAAAAAGTAAAAAACTTAAAAAATTATAAGGATAAAAAATATTTAAAAATATAATTTTTTATAAAAACGTTGTTTTATAAGCGACTTGAAACTATGTAAAAAAATATTTTCAAAAAAATTTACACTTTCTGAAATAATGAGTGTTGTTTGATAAAAGAATCACCCAGTATATCCGATTTTATTATTATTTACCTTTAACTTCTGTATATCTGTGTACTTCAACAGGTTATGGGCCCAGTAGTAAGGTCTTTATAATAAAGATGTGAATAGTTATTAAAATAATAATTGATTAACGATTTGCGTGTTTTTGTGTACAGACAGTGTACATCAATAATAATTCGCGAAGTAAGTGCAGTGTAGTGTGAGTGCGTTTTTTAGTGTGCAGATAGTGTACATTTACGTTTTTTAAATATGGAGAACGAACAATATAAAATCAACAAACTCAAAGATGCATCAAATTGGGACATGTGGAAATTTCAAATTAAGGTTATCATGAATGCAGCTGAAATATTTGATGTAGTAACAGGAAAATCAAAGAAACCAATTTTAGCAAAAATCGGTAATGAAACTGAAGATGAAGCGAGAAAAAGGCATAGCGTTGATTTTTGAATATGGAAAAGGGCAGATAATAAGGCTCAAAAATGTATCGTCACATCGTTAGATGAACAACATCTACAATACATTATGAACTGTGACACAGCAAATGGTATGTGGAACAAATTACTTAGTGTGTACGAACAGATGTCGGACACAAGCATAACAATAGTACAACAAAAGTTCTATCGTTATACAATGGATCCAAAAGACAATATAGCAGGTCATATTTCAAAATTAGAAAATCTAAGTTGACAACTAAAACAATTGGGAGAACCTATCTCAGAATCAATGTTGATTACAAAAATTTTGATGACATTACCTGATAGCTATAGGCACTTCTACAGTGCATGGGACTCAATGAATAATGCAAATAGAACGCTAGAACAGTTAACCACTCGATGAATGGTACTGAAAGTAGTGCTTTGACTGCAACCAAAGGCAAGTATAATAAAATTCAAAAATACGTGAACAAAAATGATAATACAAAACCAGGAAAATGCAATAACTGTAAAAAAACCAGGACATTGGAAAAGGGACTGCAGGATATTCAAAAAGGAACAAGAAGAAAAGAAATCAACTTCCGGTTTGGCGCTTATTGGTGTACAAAGAAAAAATGAAGAAATCGACGACTCAGACAAATGGTATGTAGACTCAGGTGCGAGCGACCACATGACAAATCGAAAAGAGTGGTTCGTCGATTATAAACATTTTGATGTGCATTCGCTTGTACGTATTGGAGATGGTAAGCACATTATGGCAGTCGGAAAAGGTAACATAAATATTCATACTTATGTTGACAATAAGTGGATAAAATGCTACTTAGAAAATGTTTTATATGTACCTGATCTAAAGATAAATTTATTCCTTGTGGGGCATGCCTTGATAAAGGAATTACAATGGTGACAGACAGTAAAGGTTGCTCATTTAAAATTAATAATCGTGCATTGCAGTCGGTGTTCGTGAGAATAAATTGTTTACAATGCTAATCAAAACAGATATTTCACAGGAAATTGGACACTATGCTAACGTTGCAGTTAAGAAATTAACATTAGAACACTGGCACAAAATACTATGTCATCAGAATGTCAAACATGTTCGTGAGTATTTAAAACACAATGAAATACATTTTACAAATATACAAGGACAGTTATTCTGTGAACCATGCATCTATGGCAAACAGCATAAGGAGACGTTCACTCAAAGCGAAACAATAACTACTGAACCAGGGCAAATATTACACAGCGACGTATGTGGCCCCATGGAAGAGAATTCACTAGGAGGTAAAAGATATTTCATTATATTTAATGATGATTATTCTAAATATAATTATGTCTTTTTTATGAAACATAAATCTGAGGTTAAAGAAAAACTTAATTGTTTTCTGAGTATGGTTAAAACTCAAACAAAATACGTTATTAAAACTATTAGAAGTGACTGTGGATTAGAGAATAAGAATTTCGAAGTTCAATCAATTCTAAATCATCTAGGTATAAAGCATGAAACAAGTGTACCTTATACTCCTGAACAAAATGGAAAAGCTGAACGTTCAATGAGGACTATTTGTGAGGCAGCCAGAACAATGATATATGCCAAGAAATTTCCAAAATCACTGTGGGCAGAAGCAGTCAATACAGTAGTGTTCTCATTAAATTATACTGGTAATTCAGGGAAAGTATGTAAAACTCCATACGAGATATGGTTTGATAAACTTCCTAAAATAGAAATTTGGAATAAATGCATATAGTTTAGTTCCAAAACAACGACGAAGGAAGTGGGATGCAAAAAGTCGAAAAGGATACTTTGTTGGATATTCAAAAACTTCAAAAGGGTACCGTATTTGGTATAGAGAAAATAACGAGGTGTCTCTTAGTAGAGACGTCATTTTCAAGGATGAAAATGTTGTAAATTACCAACTTGTAGAATGTTCTAATAACTTAAATGATAGTAATAACATTGATGTTCTTAGCTTACACAAAGACGGCTCATTAGAACACAGCAATAAACCAGAAGGAGATGAAGTCATAGAAAATGAATATGGACCAATAAGTGTAGATGACAATGAAAATCAAGAACATGAACAAGGAAATGGGTCAAATGTCAACGTGTACAACTTGCGAGACAGAAGTAATATTAAGAAACCATTACGTTATGATAATTCAGCATTTTTCGTAGTCGAATCCGATCCAGTGAATTTCAAGGAAGCTGTGGAGTCACAAAATTCAGAAAAATGGGTGGAAGCCATGAACAATGAAATGGAATCTCTTGAACAAAACGGAACATGGTCTCTCGTAAAGTTACCTAAGGACAGAACTATTGTAAATTGTGGTTGGGTGTATAAAACAAAATACAATGTTCATGGATATGTTAATCGAGACAAGGCTAGGCTAGTAGCAAAAGGGTATAGTCAAATATTCGTATTGATTTTAATGAAACTTTTAGTCCTGTAGTAAAGTTAGATTCAATTCGGTCTATATTAGCTATATCAGCAGCAGAACAATTACAACTTCGACAATTTGACGTTCAAACAGCGTTTTTATATGGAGATCTCGACGAAGAAATTTACATGAGACAACCAGAAGGGTTCAAAGATGGTACTGAAATGGTGTGCAGACTTCAACGCAGTTTATATAGTCTAAAGCAGTCACCACGATGTTGGAACATAAAGTTCAAAACATTTCTTCTTAAGAGGACGTGTCACCGAAACGTGTACGCATGCAACGACCGAGAGGATGCGCTGTTAGATGTTTTCACGATCCGCAAGCGCGCGGCGTTTAAGTCACGCCTACTATTCGAAATTCGCAACCGGCCGACGGCGGCGACGAGTGCTCGTTCGGGAGCGCTGTTTATTTGTCTAAGAGCTTTCGTCTGGTACGATTCGTATCATTATAATTCATTATACGCAAATGCCGCCGTAATATTTTCAATACCCTCGCGTACCTATGATTTGCCGATTTTAAACTAAGATACTGTTTACCTAAATTTATGCCCCAATATACAGTGTGTTCACGGAAACAGGGAACACTTAATAACTCATTACCCTGTAAATATTTTTCAATTCTGCTTGTGGGGCATTCAACTAGACTAATAGGTCATACATTCCTATAACTAATAATTTTTTTAACTCATATAGTTTGCGCATGCGCAGTATATTATCCTTTTTTTTAAATTGTAACACCTGTTTTGAACACTATATTTGGATAGGCCTATTTTTTATAAGTAATTTTGATGAATCAAGTATGGTTCTAAATTCAAAATTGACTGAATAAGAGCCATGTAAATTTTAATAAATAATACATTTTTTATTATTTTTAAAAATTTGTAAAATCATTTGTAATTAATTCTTATTGGTTACTTTTTCAATATTTGTACGTATTTTTTTTAAGTGTTATAAAGAAGACTAACATAATATGAGTACAAAATTATTTATTATAAACTGATAAGGTACAAGTGAACAACAGTTTTTTATAATTACACAATTAATTAAATAAATTGTTCAAAGTTTGCTCCGTGATTTTCGACGCATAATTGAAAGCGTTGTAGACATCCTCTATTGGTTGCTGACATTATTTGATTTTCGGTAAGGTTATTACAGGCAACCACGATTTTATTTTTTAATTCGGCTAAATTTACTGGTGGATCTGCGTAGACTATTGTTTTCAAATGGCCCCATAAAAAAAAATCAAGTGGAGTAATATCTGGAGATCTTGCTGGCCATTCAATGGGACCATAAGTGCCGAACCACTTTCCCTCATATACTCGATTTAAATGATCTCGAACAATATGAGCATTATGAGCAGGAGCTCCGTCATGTTGAAAATAAAGGGTTTGACGTGTAGCTAATGGTAAATTTTCTAACATCAATGGTAAAACATTTGTTAAAAATGCTAAATATCGTCTTGCATTTAAGTTTTCTTCATAAAAATACGGACCTAATAATTTGCCACCTATAAGTCCACACCAAACATTTGTACCCCACACAGTTTGGTGACGGCTATCCACTGCCCAATGAGGATTGACATAAATCTGACCATAAACGATTGTTTTGCTTATTAATAACTCCATTATTCGTGAATTTAGATTCTTCAGTCCATAATATCTGATTTAAAAATAACGGTTGTGTATCGATTTGAACGAGCAACCAAGCAATGAAATTTAACCTTCTTTCTGGATCTGTAGGTCGTAAATGTTGAACTAATTCAGGTTTGTAAGGATGTAATTTGTGTTTTTTTTAAATTTTATGCACAAGGCCGAACGATATTCCAACTTCTCTACCAACATGCCTAACCGAAGATCGTGGATTCAATCTAATATATGCTAAAACTTGAAATTCTACATCATCATTAATATTATTTTGTCTAATTTGTTGGTTACGGACTCCTTTTACAGAAAATGCTCCATGGTTAATCAATAATTTTTCTATTTTAATGAACAAAGTGTGTGGTGGATGGTACCGACCTGGGTATTGTTCAGCATACATTTTTGCTGACTGACGAGAGTTTCTATTGCATCTACCATAAATTAAAAGCATTTGTACTTTTTCTTGGTTGTTCATTTTAACTTAACTACTCGCACTATGACAATCAAAACAAAAATGATTCACAATATCTACATTTTAGAGTATAAAATTAATAATCAAAACGGTTTATCTACTTATAAAGAATTACGAATTGATAGGTAGGTATAAATAATTTATCACTTATCGATATTATACATCTAATAATAGTGCATATTCATGTGCAATAAATGCATATTATTATTGTTATGACTTATGATTATCTAGTATTAAATTACCTGAAAAACTATGCTAATTAACATTATCTTATTATTTCAAACCTCGATAACTTTATATTTTATAAAATAACTGTTGTCTGCTTGTACCTAATCGATTTATAATAAATAATTTTGTACTCATATTATGTTAGTCTTCTTTATAACACTTAAAAAAAATACGTACAAATATTGAAAAAGTAACCAATAAGAATTAATTACAAATGATTTTACAAATTTTAAAAAATAATAAAAATGTATTATTTATTAAAATTTACATGGCTCTTATTCAGTCAATTTTGAATTTAGAACCATACTTGATTCATCAAAATTACTTATAAAAAATAGGCCTATCCAAATATAGTGTTCAAAACAGGTGTTACAATTTAAAAAAAAGGATAATGTACTGCGCATGCGCAAACTATATGAGTTAAAAAAATTATTAGTTATAGGAATGTATGACCTATTAGTCTAGTTGAATGCCCCACAAGCAGAATTGAAAAATATTTACAGGGTAATGAGTTATTAAGTGTTCCCTGTTTCCGTGAACACACTGTATAGATCGTAGAAACTGTATTATAACATAGCTTGATTTGTAGTTATTTAATTATTACTTATTTAAATATAATACTTATAGTAAAATCTAATAAATCATAAATAAAATAAATACAGCGCAATTAAATTAATATTAATTGTCTGTGTTTTGTTAAATTAAATTTTTATGAGCGTTTGAAATTCAAATTTTTACAACATTGGATATTCACTCGATTTCTCATGTAGCGATTTCCTTATTTTGTTGTAATTCAAAAACGAATAACTGTAGATACATGAAAATTACACTGAATGTTTATATTCTCATTTTTGAAAATATTTTGACTCTTTTTGAGCTGATTACGGACATAGTCAGTTTTCAATTTTTTTAATTTTTTTTTTTATAAATATCAATAAATTTTGAAAAATTTGTTAATATTGTACAAATATAAATATAGTAATTATATAGTAATTCGGCTTATTAAAATGGTTTACATCAAAACTACCTATAATAAAAGTTATAGAGAAGAATTTTTAACAATCGTAATAAGCCTGATTTTCGATATTTTTATTAATTAGTTAAATAATTAATCGATAAATATTTCAAAACCGTGTTAGTTTACCATGTGATATTGGACAATAAGAATACGATATCAAAAATCGGATTCCTTACGATTGTTAAAAAAGTTCTCCTCTACAATTTTTATAATAGGTAGTTTTGTTGTAAATATTACCTATTGGTAAATTATTTGTCAATTCTTTTGAAATACAAACATATTACTTTTTATTTAAAAATATATAACAAATTAAAACAATTTTGTTTTGACTGTCGATTTTACTGCTTCGGATTTATTTGGTTCTCGTATGTCGGATATCATTAAACGATGTTTAAAAACTGGATCAACTATTTCGGGTAGTAAACAATTTAAATAAAAACTAGAAAAAAAATATTTAAACTATAAATAAAATTAAAATTTATTAATCTAAATAAAATGAGCAAACTCACTGTTTTAATTTATCCACCATTTTCGATGACCATAAATCATGATCGTAAAATATTTTTTCAACCGATGTCCAGTTTGGTGTATATATTATAAAATAACACATTTCCCTATGTGTTATATGTAGCTGTCCTTGAACTTGGTAAAAGTAATCATGGGTACTTTTTAATTTCAATTGACCATTTACAATTGTACAGTATTTTAGCTATATATGTATATTATATGAATATAAATAATAATGTTAGTATAAGGAAGTAAAAATTATAAGCTAATTAAATTTCTATGACATATTGACATATAACTGATTATTGACTAGTTAGGAATACAAAAATTATTGTTTATATTTGATGCTTACTTACTTTACCACTCTCTACGGCTTCATTTATATTTAAAGTATGTTTTGCTGCATACGGTGCTTTAATTTCAACAATAGAATTATTATCAATGATACCATCTAAATAATAATGTAAGTAAATTAATTTTACTATGTACCAAATAAATAAATTATTAACTGCAAGCTAAACTTAATAACTGATAGACTTACCAGGACTTGCAGCAAGAAATGAATACTCCATATCTATAACTGATCTATGAAATATTAGTTTTCTTGAATCTATTTATTTAAACAATTATTGTGTAACGCGTCAATATGTTATACTTACTTGCAACTGAAATTATTATACAAAATAGAATAAATAGTATTTTTGCAACTCGTACTTGGCCGCATCTTGCAAATGCGACCAAAATTACTAGCTGTAAGTCTTGACAATCGTTCACGTTTCCATTTTTCACTAGCTGCTTGATCTCGGGTCTCGATTTCAATATTTGATCGATCGACGTCGTTTAGTACTCTACAATAATACAAATATAAGTTAAACAGTTATAACTTATAAAAAACATTATATAAGACTTTGGATACCTAATATTACTAAACATTACCTAATAAATGCATTCATTTCATTAATTAAACCTTGGTCGTTAATGCTTCTTACATTGTCCAACTCATCAGCATTACCATAATATTTATCAGCTGTCGTACTTTTTTTTATATGTTTTTGTCGTCTTTGAAATTGTTTTAAGAACTTTTCTCCTTTTTTGACATACACTACGTTTACTTTAATTCTAGTATTATAAAAATTATAAATTAGTTGTAAAATTATAACTAATAGCAATTTAAAAAAAAACGGGAAAGTAGGTGTCGAATATACCTAACGTGACCATAATATTTTTTACTCAAAGCAAGACACTTACAAATTTCAATAGGAAAACCATAATAAGTTTTTTCGAAAAATGATAATACTAAAAATATAGTAAAACACATTACACAGTGTAAAACAATAATTATTTTTATAAAAATTACAAAACAAAAACAGACAAATGGTAAATTAAATTATAATATTTAGCTGGATTTTTATATTTTTTGGATCCGCAAATCCGAAATAACGATGTATTTAAATTTAAAATACGAATTAGGTACTTATTTTTTTTATGATTTTTATTTATAGACTATATAGACTATGGCCTAGTTTACACCTTTGGACAGCGGGACACTAAGCTTGAAAGCGGAACTTGCAGTGGTCACGTTTAATATATCTTGTAATTTGGTTGTTAAAACTTATTAAATATTAAAATAACAATAATTGAATAATTTATAATAAATGTATAAGCTTATTACTAAAAAATTAACAAACCTATTAGAAACCAATGTAGTACTTCTCATTGTATCAGTCTCATTTATTATTTCCATAGAAGTTTCACCCAATGATAGTGGACTAGAAGTACAACTTAAAAAATATTATATAAAAATTATATTTTTTAATTATTTATAATAATTTATATATTACTAAAAAATTAACAAACGTATTAGAAACCAATGTAGTAGTTGAAGTATCAGACTCATTTATTATTTCCATAGAAGTTTCACCCAATGGTAGTGGACTAGAAGTACAACTTAAAAAATATTATATAAAAATGATATTTTTTAATTATTTATAATAATTTATATATTATAGGTATAATTGTATTTATATAATAAAAGAATAAAGTTGAGTTCATTCTATAATTTAAACTTACGGTATGAAAATACTTAACTATTTTATACATTTTATATCAAAAAGAAATTAATAATATTGTAAAAACTTACCTTTTGTTTTTATTATACCGCTTTAAAATAAGTTTACTAGATATATTTTTTCTAGATGGGCGTTTAACTTTGTTTGTTTTATTTGCCATATTATTTAAAAATTATTATAAAAAACGCTAGGAAAAATAAAATAAAATAATATAGACCTGTAACCAAAGGTGTATACTGTATAGTCTGAGTACTCAAGTCAGAATGACTAATAATAATTATAATAAACTTAATTTCTTAATTTCGTAAATCCGTATTCATAAAATAAAGTCATATGAATAAAATATACGGGACGAATAATAATACTATTATTAATAACAACAATAATAATAATAAGTCATTAGTACTTATTAGTTATTACTATTCTTAGAATTATCGATAACACCGTCGACAGCGAGCACCCGCTACCTCCTCCCATCATGCCAATTAATTGAAAATTATATTTATAAAATACACCACTTGAAGCAGCACAATATGGAATGATAAATATTGAAAAGTACGACTGAAACGTTAAAAACATAACTACGGAAAACTGTAATTGCTCTCTTTATAGTGGTTTTAGAGCAAAAATACCTTAAATAAAATCGAAAGAAAACAATATTTCGGATAAAATATCATATGCGTTTTTTAATATTGCTATTATATAACTAACAAATTAAAATACAAAATAGACAAATTTTACGTTTTTTAATTAGCTGTAATTATTTTACTAAATATTTTTTTGTAAAATGGATATGACATTATCTCCAAAATATTGTTCTCTATAAATTTCATCATAGGTATTTTAACTCTAAAACCACTTTTTAGTGTCGTTTTGACTGTTTTGCGTGAACATGTTTTTACCGTCGAAAATGAGCGGTATAACGTCCTCTTAACTTTAATCTATTAGAAACAAAAGCAGATCCCTGTGTTTTTGTTAATAGAGAAAATAACAAAGTATTAATCGTCACTATATTTGTTGATGATGGTCTAGTTGCAGCTACATCGAGTGAGGATGTAAATGCATTATGGAATATTTGAGACAACATTTCAATATTACCGAAGGAGAATTGAATCAATTTTTAGGTACAGAAATTGAGCAAAAATCTGATGGATCAATTGTAATGCACCAAGGGTTGTATTGTAAAAGAATATTGGAGAAGTTCAATATGACTGAAGCAAATCCAGTTAAAATACCAGCAGACCCTCAACATTCATTAGATGACAAGCAAAAAAACACCAATCTAACTAGTAAAGTCCCATATCGTGAAGCAGTCGGAAGCTTATTATATCTCAGTCAGATTACAAGACCGGACATAACTTTTTCAGTAAATCTAGTTAGTAGATACATCGAGGATCCAAAGGAACAACACTGGACAGCAGTGAAACGAATTTTAAAATATTTAAAGGAAACTATTAATTTTGGATTGATATTTAGTTCTAGACAAAAACTCATGTTAAAAGGATACAGTGATGCTGACTATGCAGGTGACTTGAATACAAGAAGGTCAACATCAAAGTCAGTATTTACATTAGGGTCTGGAAGTATAGCATGGAGTTCACGTCGTCAACAGTGTGTTAGCCTTAGCACAACTGAATCAGAGTACATAGCTTTAGGTCAAGCAGTACAAGAATTAACTTGGTTAAAATTGTTTTTAGGAGAATTTCTGGACCAGCCTAAAATGGTGCCAACAATGTATGGAGACAATCAAAGTGCGATTAAACTCTTAAAAAATCCAGAGTTTCATAGAAGAACAAAGCACATAGATGTTCGCTACCACTATATAAGAGAAAAGTTCAATGAGGGATTGTTTTCATTGGAGTACATATACAGCAAGGAGCAGATTGCGGACATTATGACAAAGCCAACTCCACGAACGCGGTTCAATGAGCTAAGGGAGATGTTAGGAGTTATAAGTATTGATGTATAAGGGTATATTGTTTAAGGGAAAGTGTTGGAATTATAAACAAAGCACCCTATATAATGTAGTGTATAAGTAATATATTCACACTAAAGTTCAGCAGACGCTGACTATACATTTTTATAATACTACAGCATAAATGTCTTGCGTAGTGTAGCCGGATATACATATTACATAGTTAGTCGTTGATTTATATTACGCCTCGTAACACTATTGTACATCGTATCATTATACTTATTATTATATTATATATATCCGATTTTATTATTATTTACCTTTAACTTCTGTATATCTGTGTACTTCAACAAAAATCAATGCTTATATTTAAACTAAAATCCATTGGATTGATTCCTAAACTTGCGGTTTGTGATCAGAAACTAATAATCAGCAACTTCATAAAATCTTAAGTATGACAAGCAAGTTGCCTTTCATAACTCATAATGAAGATAAAATGTATTCTGTGTATGATACACCACACTTACTGTTAATTTCTCCAGAGGAAATAACGTTAAAAATCTAGCCGCTGGACGGGAATTGAACCCGAGTCCCTCGCTTGCCGGGAGATTTTGGGAAATAATTTGATTTATATTACAGAGTAAAAATACCAAGTTTCAAAAAAACCCGACCATAAAATAACGTTTTCTCCCCCTTCACCCAGAAAAAATATCATTTAACTAGGTAATGAAAAAATCATGTTAAATCAACGAAAATTGGGTATGATTTTGATCCAATGAAATCAATCCATTATATTCAGGTAATCAGTTAACAGTTTCATTAAATTAATGAAGCTAAAAATTCTTAAGAAAAAGTAAATTTTCCATTAAATTAATTTAGAATTAATTTAATTAAAATAACCCACATAGGTATACAAAGATATATTAATCAAAAATATTAAGAGAACGCTACACCCGCATGTGTTGTCTCCGTCTTACAAATGTACAACATAGAAAAAACTGTTTTGCGGGGGAAAGAACCGAGAAGGCTACAGTCAGTACAGTCATAACTAAGAAACATGATTTGCACCACGTAAAAAGGAGAACTTTGGCTGTGCAACGTTGTTTTTATTTTTTTATATCACTTATATGAAAAAAAGTTCTTAATGTTTCAAAAACCATTATTGTTTGTTTTTCAAACTTGGAAAACTTTTTTCACATAAATGATATCAGAAAATAAAAACAATGTTGCACAGCCAAAGCTCTCCTTTTTATGTGGTGAAAATCTCGTTTCTTAGTTATGAATTTAGCCTTCTCGGTTCTTTCCCGCGTAAAACAGTTTTTGGTATGTTGTAAATTTGTAAGACGGAGACAACATATGTGGGTGTAGCGTCCACTTAACTAATTTCCTTATTTTTGTACATGATCAATATATTCAATATTGTGTGAACAATTAGTATAACAATTAGTTTACACTTTTAACTGAAATTTCCAGTAAATGTTTTTAATATCTAATAATATTAGACCTACTATAGTAAATATATTTACTAATTAGTAATTACTTATACATTATATAAATCCTTGATAACAACTAGTTATTTTTTCCGTCAATATTTTTAATAATTTAATAATTTTACTGTACTACTTGCCGTGCGATTGACTCTTTCATCTCGTTAAGAGTTTCCACAGTATTACGAGTCGTTTCACAAGTAATATCAACATATTCACGAAGTATTCTAATTTTCGACTCTACTACTCACCGGTGAGCGAAATTTGATTTCTACCTCTTATTACTACTATAATATTTTAAAATCGAATCATCTAAACATATCAATTGGTTGCCTACGTTTGTGGAGACTTTAACTATCGGTTATACAGTTAATTAAGATCTTGTTTTACCATTTTTGTATCTTTTCTGTACATTGTGTGGTTTTACTGATTATTAAGGAGTATATAAGCTTTAACTAATTATCCAAGACGTTGATCTTACTACTGCTATCAGTCTTGCGTCTACTACCCTTTAAGGTGTTATTTCTGCCATAAATCCTACTATGTCTACTACTGATCTAAATACACGTAATGGTACTGACCAGCAAATGACGCTAAGATCTACCAACAATTCAATCAAGTCTTCGAATAATCCACCCACACCAACTCCACTATCGTCTGATGAATTCAATCGAGTAATCTTGGGAATGCGTAAAACTCAGGATGCTACTTTAGCTCAATGTAATGCTCTATCCCTCTCATTCAACAAAAAATTTGGCGAACTTCAATCTGGTATCAACTCACTTGCTTCTCAAATTGTTGACTTAAGATCTGATAATACCTCCATTCGTAAAGACCTTTCTGCTCTCAACAATAGGATACGTGTCGTTGAACCTGAAGTGTGTAAATCAAACATCTCACCTGCCGACAACATTCCTCAGCTTCTTCAAGAATTGTCCGAGAGAAAAAAATGCTCACATAATGTCATTGTCCATGCACTTATTGAATCTTCTGCTACTTTACCGGCTGGACGTTTAACTGATGACATTCAACATCTGTCTGATTCTATTCTACCACTTTATATGTCTCTGCCTCCTGATGTGACCTGACCCTCGCCCACTAAAAGTAATATTTCCATCAAAAATTTCTCCCCTCCAGTTTGTGAGAGACTTTATAACTGGTATGCGTTCTCGCGGTGCTACCGACCCTCCATTGTCGGTGTCTGTAGTTTGTGATCGTACATTAATGGAGAGGCAGCAAGTACGTCAGGTTTATGCTGATTTAGAACAGCGTAGGAAAAACGGTGAACACAATATAGTTGTCAGACATTTCAACGGCGTACCTTCCATTGTCCAGGCAGACAAGGATTTTCAATTCAACCACTCTACCCATCGTCACGTCGCTATTCCAAAAAACCAACCAGTTTAGATGATAAACTAATTACCTGTTGCGATTACCATCATACCTCATCGATCCTCGATGTTTTCATGTCGTGCCATTGTCTTCGTGCTACCTTTGTAAGTTATCAATTAATACATCTAGTGATTTTTCTTAATTTTGTAAACCGTTTTAAAAATAATAATCCTCCTAACTTTAATTTATATAATTTAAAAACTTTCTATCAAAATGTTCGTGGATTAAAAACTAAATAAGTTAATTTCAGAAGTTCTATTCCCATTTTTAACTTTTATGATGTCATCACTCTCACAGAAACATGGCTCTCTCGATGTCTATGACTCTGAACTCGGGCTTAATGCTTTATAAAATCTTCAGGATTGATAGAAATCCTCTTAACAGTGCCTACTCTCAGGGAGGCGGTGTTCTCATTGCAATCAAGTCTACTTTAAAAGCAACTCTTATAAGTACCAATATCAATACGCTCGAGCAAGTATATACCATTGTGTCTATTAATTCTTTTAAAGTCCTCATAGGTGCAGTTTACTTACCACCTGTTGTCAATGCTCTCAGTTTACGATGCCTATACCACCTCTATTGAACACCTAATATCATCTATTAACCCTTCTCCGATCCTTGTCTGTGGTGACTTTAATCTAACCCTTATTAAATGATCTAAAAGCAACATAGGTCTATCCGCATCTGGCAGTATGTCTAACACCTCTACCCATCTTGTTGATTCCTTTTCATACTTGAATTTTTATCAGCTTAATCAAGTGCCTAATGACAATCAACCCGTGGATGTACTCTTGATCTTGTCTTTTCTAGTATTGATGCACCTCCAGTCAAAATTGCAAATACTCCAATCGTCTCTCCTGATCCCTACCATCCCATCTGTTTATATGTTTCCCTATTCCATCTCCCATAACTCCTCAAGACACACATACAAATCGGGATTATAAATCTGCTGATTATGAATCCATGAACCATTATTGGGGATCTTTTGATTGGGAAAACACTTTTTCACTTTATACAGTTGATGATTCTGCTGTTGTCTTTAACGATGCACTTCCAAGCTCTATCAACAAGTTTGTTCCCAATAAAGTGTGGTCACCATCTAAATTTCCTAAATGGACATCCAGATCTTTGAAAGATCTTATCACAAACAAAAACAAAGCGCATGCAATTTATAAGCGAACCAAGTCGATATCGGATTATCTAGTTTTTTCTGAATATAGAGCACAATGCAAACGCCAGTCAAAAGTTGATAACTCTGTTCATATTAATTGTACCGAAGTAGCACTGTCATCCTCCCCTTCCAACTTTTGGAAATTTGTAAATAACCTGTGCCCTATATTAAAGCTAGTGCAGCATACTATAAATTGAAATTAACAGCCCACAATTACACAGTTTATGACTTAACAACACAAGATGCAATGGCGTATTGGTTTGATGAAACACAGACCTAACTTAGCGCTACCACATTTGCATCGTGCCTATGTAATTATATCAATGAGTTGTTGAACAAGTAATTAAAAACGGTAATTATATATTCAGACGGGTGCTGTTATCAGAACCAAAATTCAGTGCTCTCAAATGCATTACTACATTTGAGTATGTCCGAAAAGGTAACGATCATCCAAAAGTATCTGGAAAAAGGGCACACTCAAATGGAGTGTGATAGTGTACAGAACACCAGTACAAAAACGTTGATGTGTATCCGCCTAGTCAGTTCGTAGTTCATTCAATAACTGCAAGGAAACTTCCTATTTTGTTGAACTACAGTTTCTTTAAACATTTGTAGTCAAGACATGATATACAGCTCTATACGTCCTGGAAGAAGCTCTGGTGATCCGACTGTAACTGATCTACGTATGCTACAATATGAACCTAATGGAATTATATATTACAAGCTCAATTTCTATGATGAATTAAGAGAACTACCAGGCAGGTCAAAAAAAGTGCAATCAATATCTTCATTTCCAAACCTGTACACTTCAGAAACTAAAATACCCCTTGAAAAATGGTATGATTTACAGTTTTTAAAGGGGATGATGCCATCTAATACGCACTCATTTTATGATAATATACCTTGCGAAAATGAAAGCAGAAAAATGTTAAAACGACAATAGCAAAATATTGAAAAGCACAGGCAGGACATTTTTTTGGAATTTGAAGGTGGCAAGAAGAAAAAAAAGAAATAACCAAAGTACCGAGAGCAATATCACAAGCAATATTAATGTATTTAATAGTGATTAAATTGTATTGATTTTTATGTATTTGTTATTAATTAAAGTAAATTAATCTTCACTGCAACATATTGTGATTTTTAAACTTAACACTAAAGGAACATTTTTATAATTTTTATATTTTATTTTATTTTGTTGTTCATTTTATTAAACAATAATATGTTTTTATGTTAATTGATAAAGTTAAATTTCATTTCATTTTATTAAATTGTTTTTTTTTTTCATAAATAACCTGTAGTGTTACCTAGAATTATTAATAGTATTATACAAAAATGTATGTTAAATTAATTAGACAACTTTATCTATCTAACGTTTACAAACGACAACACAAGCTATCTCAGGAATTTTTCCGATTTACATATTTTTAAATTTTTTAACTTTTCTAAGGTAAAAAACAACTCCATGTTTATAAAAAAAATTAAAATATTATAGAAAGTCATATTAGTTCCATTTAAACCAGTTTTATTGCTCTTCTGAAAAGTTGAGAAAAATGAGATATGAGGTGCTTCCTCGATCACCTCATTACAGGAGATGAGACATGGGTTCATTATTCTACCCCTTACAACAAACGAGACTCGATGACTTGGAAACATCCCGAATCGCCAGTTCCAAAAAAATTCAAACAAACAATTTCCTCAAAAAAAGTGATGGCTACTGTGTTTTGGGATGCACAAGGAATTTTACTGATTGAATTTTTATCAAAAAATGAAACAATAAATGCTGACCGATACATTGAAACGTTAAAAAAATTGAAAGAAAAAATTCGTTTCAAGAGAAGAGGACAATTACGCTCAGGAAATGTGAAACTGCTGCATGACAATGCAACCCCACATTCAGCCGGAAAAACCAAAGCTTGGCTGGAAAAATACAAGTGGGAAGTATTGGAACATCCACCATATAGTCCTGATCTGGCACCTTCGGATTTTTTTTTGTTTGGTCCGTTAAAAAAACACTTAGGAGGAACTCATTTTCAAAATAAGGAGGAGGTCATGAACGCAGTTACCGAGTACTTCGATGGAAAATGTGCTGCGTATTTCCGAGATGGCATTTTCAAATTACTCCATCGTTGGGAAAAATGCATCAATTTAAATGGTGACTATGTAGAAAAATAGAAAAATATGTCTAATTTATTGTGTAAAAATTTTAAAGTAATAAATTGATTTTTCATTATTCAGTATATTTTTGTACCTTATTTATCGGACAGCCTACGTACCTACCACCTTACTTGCTAGTAAGTGTGGGTCATGGACGAGCGATAGCTTTTGGGCGATGGCGATATGCTGGATAGAAGCCTCCCACGTCACTCTTAACATACCGAGACCCCGATATTTTCTTCCCGTGTAGTAGACCGGAAGTGGAGTGTCAGCAGGAAGGCCACATATTTCCCTAGTTCCTTGTGTTATCAACTTATCCACACGTTCGATGAAATTTTTATCAAGAATGTCGATGGGAGTTGTTTTCATAGGATATATCAACTTTGGGTAAACATACTGGTCTAGTATGTTGAGTTTCTGGTCTCCTCGTAATAGAGGAGAAGTTAATAAATTTCTAAAAGCCTTTTCTAATTGGGAAAGAAAGCTCTTCCTGTCAAAAACTATTTCATCATTAAAATTGATCCCTATATTTTATGCACGTGCCACCTCCCACCGGAGGAATTACTGAATTGCCTAAGAGTGTTAGACTCCTCGGCACTAACTGTCCGTCTTATACGTTGATGATCGTAGATTTTGTTGGGTTTATCTGCATTTTGACGGTAGAGAATAGGTCTTTAGCTATGTTCACGAGAGTGATGGCGCTGGCAAAGGTCTTGGTGATTATGGTGGTATCGTCGGCAAAACCTACTATTGCAATGTTGTCTGGGTTTTTTTTGTATCTTAAAGCCGTGGATACTGGATACGTCTGCGTCCGCTATCTGTTTGAGGACGAAATCCTGACATAGGTTAAATACTGTGGAGGGCAAAGGGGAGCCTTGAGTTACGCCTCTCCTCATCGTAATTGCAGTAGAGCACTTCTTGTACACCTCGAGTTTTGTGCTGTTATTAGACATCAATGTGAACATAATCTGACGTAGCTAAGATGGCATTTGCAGTGACTGCAATGTGCGTTCCATATGCAAGTGGCCAATATTGTCGAACTCTTTTGCTAAATCTTGCATAACTACACTACTACTCTTTTTGTTGGATTTGGCAGCTTTAGTACTCCGTTAACTATTGACCCATTAACATGGGCTCCGGATTTGCCAGACACGAAAATCTATAATATTTAATGACCTGTAAATTAAAGTGTTTAACGGGTTAACTGGAGTCATTTTTCTTTCAATATAATTGGTATGTAATTACTTTTTAATATTAGTTGTTTTCTCAATATTTAGATGTTTGCGTAACACAAAAAAAACAACAAAGTTGCTCAGTTGAAACTGTAGAAAACAATCCTCTGGTGAGTAAACTTTTTAAATGATATATTTTCACTAGATAGATATTCTTGTTAGGTAAGATTTACCTATTCTAAATAAAACATATTCTGTTGTGTTTAAATTATTATTTATTAGTACACGTTTGACTACCTATTTTAATATTAAACATTTATTATGATTGTTCAGATGTACCTATTCAACTGCTAAAGAACAAACCGAGCAAAGTAGTGTATCCTGTTCGTTCTCGTTACCTGAGGTTGAGGAATATATTGCTGCAGATAAAATATATTCATTTATGATCCCCAAAAAAAGTTCTATTAATCAAAAAATGGACTTTATGAGACAACACCCTTGTCAACCGACTGTACTACATAATGTTTCATAGTCTCTTTTAAAACTTTATAATAAGGAGAATCAGAGATGTAAAACCGTTTTGCAAAAATGGTTGACATTACAATGTGAAAAAAATAATGAGGTTAAAGCCTTGCAGTAAATGTATTGCTTTCTCTACATCATCAACCAATTTTTCTACTGGTTACACAAATTTCAGAAATATTTATGCAGCTGTAGAATCTCATGAAATTAGCAAAGTACAAGCTTCAAGTAATTATAGTATTGAATATTTGATCAACCGTAATGTGATGAATATGAAAAAAAACAACTCGAAGAAAGAATTCATGTACCTATTTGTAATGAAAATTCAACGCTTGATTTTATTTAACGTTTATTTCCATACGTATTGAAAATACAAACCAAAATGAATATTTGTTTTACAGTATTTCTTTGTGATCATTTATACTCTTACGAGTGTACAATAAAAATAGTTTATTCAGGGATAACATATAATGGGTGGGAATGCGTGAACATGGAACTCACGGTTATGGTTCGGAATGTCTCGGTGGCTGGCTCGTCCTGGTTGGCGGAGTGCATCCACGGAACAGTGGCGCAATCAGCGGCACGGTAAAAACTAGTAATTAGTATTTTACCGGCGTGAATGGCTCGACTTTTGGTGGTATCAGCAGTGACTCGTCCTGTGTGGCGGTGTGCTGATGGATGGATAGACTGGTAACGGTAGCAGACGGTGTGGATATCCGTTGTCTTCCGGTGTTGGTCGTACGATGGTTCACAGGTGACTCACTAGCTGACTCGTCCTTGTTGGCGGCGCACAGTGACGATGACGCGTAAACGACAATGAACTATCTCACGACTTCGACGGTGGTGGAGAATAGTTTACCGGGTCAGACTATCGAATATCCGTTCGTGATCGATATAAATATCGTCCGGCTTATTCAGTCCGGGGCAGAAAGTGCTGTTGGTAGTTCAGGGATTTGTGTCCGTTCATGGCGATACAAGTATCGTCCGGCTCACAATTCGCCTGTTCTCAGCGGGGAGAAATGATGATTTGAATAGGGCCAGCGGGCCATACTTATGTGGTTCGAGGCACACAGGTCCCAGTAGAGAGAATAAGTGACACTTCTTCGTTTTTGGTTTTCTGGATGTTGATTTTAAGTATTTGAAAGTTGCAATATTATTGTTTGGAATACGCTGAGTCTGAATAAGAGAACTCCGAACTCGCTTAGTTCACTTAAAAAACTTGATTTCCCGGCGGGCAGCGTGCGTTCGTAGACAACGGCGTACCTATCTATTGTTCGGTTGAGCGGTTTCGTTCCGTTGGGCAATCGGTCGTTGTAGATTTCGTGATGCAGGATCCAGATTTTTTTCGATTAACGATTCCCGATGACATTTTAAAAAATGAAAGGTCAAAAGCCTTGGGTATAGATAATTTTGATTCAAATCATGTGATTTGTGAAGAACATTTCACAGAAAACCAAATAAAAAACAAAAAAATGTTGTAACTGATGATTTAGGAAAAGTCTTATATTCAGTAAGTACTTCGATTAAATACATATACTTCTGTTGACTGTAATTTATAAATTTAATCTATAGTATGTTGTAGGTATTAAATGAAATAATTAACATTTTTTTTTTTTTTTTTATTAAAAAACTATTTATTATACAATTGTATCATTAATAAATACATGGTTTATCAACCTCCTGTAAGCAATAAGGATTGTGTTGGAGGTTGAGAGTTATAATATTCAATAATTATATATTTATATAATGTGGACAATTTAGATTGAATAATGTAAAACATTTGACATCAATTACATAGTTACTGATTAAAAATAAAATCATAAAGGTACAAAAAACGTATTAGGTATTACTTAATAATTAAAAACATGAGAAACATACATGATCGAACATAATATAAGTTAGTTACTATAAAAGTGAATATAAATACTATTACAATTCAGATGTTATACATGTATAAAAAAAAAAAATTATTATCATTATTGTTGAAATATACAATTAATATTAGTATTCAAACCATGTAAACACACACGTGCGTGTACTATGTCGTTTTCTAATAGTTTCTTATGTAGTTACGATATAGCTGTGCCACACCTTTACTTTTACACTTTCTATATTATATACGGATACGGGATGGCCTCGATTGTTCATATAAATAGGGCCTTTGAGGTATGTAATAATCACTTGCACAGACGCTGTCATACCGAGTGTACGCGGTGTGTGTGTATAGTCACAGTTTAATTGCCCAGTTGTACGTTATTATATATTATACTTACACATAATCATATTGTCGTGTTATTACTTATTATATTAATGCTAAAATCACTAGTACGTCAAGCTTCACTTTCAACAGGTTATGGACCAAGAACAATAACCCAGAACAATAACCCAGCACAATAGCCCAGTACATGTGATCGAAGTATTTTTATATTTGTATTAACGCAGAAAACTACAACTAGTCGGAGATACCCTGGATTTCGGAAAACGGCGGAACAGTGTACATTTGTAATTTTCGTTGATAAATTGTTATACGGGAAATCATCGGTCATGGAAGACACGGTGAAAATAACAAAATTATGTGCGGAAATCTGGCCATTATGAAATTCCAGATGAAGGTCATTCTAAATGCCTTGGAAGTAGGTGAGATAGTTTCAGGTGAATGGACGAAACCAAGTCTACCTATAAAAAAGTCGGCAGCAGAGACCGACGAGGATGCCAAATCACGTTGGCAAAGGCATACAAACGCTTGGCAAAAAGCGGACGGTAAATGTCAGAAAATAATAGTTACCTCAGTGGACGATGGTCCATTACAATATTTGATTAACTGTGAGACTGCATTGGAAATGTGGGAGAAACTGCTGAGTATTTACGAGCAGAAGTACTTGCCTCAACAACAATTTTTCAGTTATTCATAGGAGCCGACAGATGACATGTCGACGCATATTTCTAAATTGGTCAATTTAGGAAGGAAACTGAGAGTAGCGGGTGAACCAGTTACGGATAATATGGTTATGACAAAAATACTATTGACATTACCAAAAGAATATAATCATTTTTACAGTGCTTGGAATTCAGTCCCAACGGGAAGTAAAAATATAAATAATTTAACTAGTCGGTTGTTGATTGAAGAATCACGGGTTATCCAGATCAAAGGGGAAGTTGGTGAACAAGAGAAATCGAGTGCATTTCCAGCCAAATTTCAAAACAGATCCGATGGAAAAAACGGCAGTTATGGTAAAGGTAAAAAGCAATTTACTAATAAAAGTAATATTAAATGTTATTACTGTGGTAAAATTGGTCATTATCAAAGAAACTGTAAGAATTTTCTAAGTAGTATGAAAGGTACTACAGATACAAGTTTAAATGCATTTGTAAGCGAGTCAAGGATAAATGAAACTACAACAGATACGTGGGTTTTAGACTCAGGTGCGTCGGATCATATGAGCGCGAACCTAGAATGGTTTACAAGTTATGAACCGTTGAAATATACACAATAGGTGACGGAACAAATCTGTATGCAACAGGAAAAGGTAATATTAATATATTATCATACGTGAACGGTAATTGGAATAAAAATTACTTGGAAAATGTATTGCACGTGCCGGGATTAAAATTTAATTTATTCTCGTGCGGGTCAGCGTTAGACAAAGGTTTAGAACTAACGTCAGACAATAAAACGTGTGTGTTCAAAAGAAACGGGATTCCTGTATGCATAGGCACACGATGTGGTAGGTTGTTTGAATTACAGATCAAAGTCGAAGCACCGTCGAAAACTGAATGTTATGCGAATATTGCAGTAGAAAAACGATTAGAAGTATGGCATAAGCGTTTAGCTCACCAGAATATTCAATACGAGAGGAATTGTTTGGCAAAACATAATATTGATTATTCAGCCAAGGACGATCAATTTGTATGCAGCGACTGCATAATCGGGAAACAACACCGTCAATCGTTCAGTAAAAGTGAAAAGGAATATTTTAACGTCGACGATTTAATACATGCAGATTTATGTGGACCGATGCAGAGGAACTCTATCGGTATGTCAAAATATTTTTTATTATTTAGAGATGACTACTCACGTTACAGAACGGTATATTTTATTAAAAATAAATATGAAGTAAAAAATATTATGGAGACATTTATAAAAAGTGTTAAAACAGAAACAGGATCTAAAGTAAAAATATTAAGTACAGGCAATGTGTTAGAATTTTTAAACAAGGATATTACAGGTATTCTACAGAAATATGGCATACGACACCAAATTACGGTAGCATATACGCCGGAACAGAACGGGAAAGTCGAGCGTGATAGCAGAACAATCGTAGAAGCTGCCAGGACAATGATATGTGCGAAAAATCTTGACGTGTCATTATGGGCAGAAGCTGTGAACACAGCGGTTTATACACTTAATCTAACCGCAAAGAGTTCACAGAATGGTAAGCCACCTTACGAGTTATATTATAAAGTCGTGCCAGATATTAAACATTTACGAGTTTTTGGTACTGCGGTATATACACACATACCAAAGCAAAAACGTCAGAAATGGGATCCAAAAAGTGAAAAAGGAATATTTGTTGGCTATTCGAACAGCACGAAAGGTTATCGTGTATGGTATTCGAAAACAAATAAAATATCCGTGTGCAGAGATATTATATTGGAAGATTATATATTTTATTTGTGCATCAAACAAATTATGCATGTAGCATAATTAATAAATTTAATATGCTGGACGCCAAGGAACTTTCAATTCCGATAGACAAATCACATCTTATTGAACAAACGGAAGAATCGGAGATATTAAGTGAAGAAATACCTTATAGGCAGGCAGTTGGTAGTTTATTGTTTTTATCACAGGTAACGAGACCAGATATAGCATATGCAGTAAACTTTGCCAGTCGTTACTTAACAAAACCAACTAAAGCTCATTGGAACTTGGTAAAACGGATTATACGATATGTCAAAAGAACATTTAATTACGGCTTGTATTTTAATCATAATACAAAATTGTCATTAGAAATATTTAGCGATTCAGATTACGCAGGTGACGTTCAGACACGACGTTCAACGTCAGGATTTCTATTCAGGTACGGGTCAAGCATAATTTCATGGACATCGCAGAAACAACATTGTGTGTCATTGTCATCGACAGAGGCTGAATATATTTCGGCCAGTGAAGCTGTAAAAGGCAGTGGCGTATTTTCAAATTTTTTGTGGGGGGGGGGGGTCTAAATATTAGGTACCTACAACTTTATAATATAAAAAAAACACATACGAGTTATGATGTAATAATTATATTATATTATATTTTTTCTGGGGGGGGGGGTCCAGACCCGGGGACCCCCCCGTAAATACGCCACTGGTAAAAGGGATCATGTGGATTACGTGGTTGATAATAAGCTTATCAAAAACAGGTGATAAACAACCGGTATTATTCATTGATAATCAGAGTGCTATTCGTTTAGTTAAGAATCCGGAGTTTCATAAGAGGACAAAACACATAGACGTACGATATCATTTCATAAGGGAGAAATACGAAGAAAGACAATTTCAACTACTGTACATTGGAACAGAGGATCAGATTGCACTGATTGCAGACATTCTAACAAAGCTTTTGGTCAAGGAACGTTTCGAGAAATTGCGGTCGGCTGTAGGAGTGACTACAATTAAAGAAATTATTAATTGAGGGAGGGTGTTGAAATATACAATTAATATTTGTTGGCGCTACTAGCGTTCAATGTTAATATGAATAGTAAAACTATATAACACCGAGTGCGCTTTCACACTATGAAGTATAAATAATAAATAAAAAACAACTAATAAACGTATGTGCGTGATTTGACTATAATATAAATGTATGAATATAATATAAAATATAAATATGTATCATTTGCTTGATTAGCGCATGTGAATATAATACAAAAAGATAATTTTTAAAGTGCTTGATTAGCACATGAATATAATACAAAAATATAATTTTTAAAGTGCTTTAATAATGGTAAAGTTATTTAAATAGTAAAATAAAAAGTAAATTATTTTTTTGTTTTATAGTTAATACTCTAAAATTTGCTAGAATTTTACATTACAATAGATAGTTAAACTATGACATATTAAAAATTAGCACATTTAAAAAATTATTGTAAGAAATAAATAATTACATGTATAAAAAGTTAATAATTGTTAAAAAAAATATTAAATATTAAATAATTAAAGTATTAAATAATTTAAATGTACATCTGCTATTCTCCACTTAATATATAAATATAGTGATGTCACAAGTTATATTTAAAAATTATTGTAAGAAATAAATAATTAAAGTATTAAATCATTTAAATGAAAAATTATTGTGAGAAATAAATAATTACATGTATAAAAAGTTAATAATTGTTAAAAAAGATATTAAATAATAAATAATTTAAATGTACATCTGCTATTCTCCACTTAATATATAAATATAGTGATGTTACAAGTCATATTTAAAAATTATTGTAAGAAATAAATAATTACATGTATAAAAGTTAATAATTGTTAAAAAAAATATTAAATAATAAATAATTAAACTAATTAAAGTATTAAATAATTTAAATGAAAAGCTACTATTCTATCACCTAATGGCTAATATATATTATATAATATATAGTTGTTACAAAACAACTATCATATTTACAAGATAATATTAAATTAGTTATTATAATATATTATGATTATAATATTTATGATCATATTCAGTATTTACAACTTGGCTAGTTCTATTTGTATTATTAATAGCTTCTATAATAGACACCTTTTCTTTTTCAGTTGGTTTTGACAGTCTACCACTGGTTAATTTTCGCTTCTTTCTTGTTGAATTAAAACGTTGTTGATCTATATTTCTGTGACTTGGCATGTCAGGTAATTCTGAGAAATGGGGCCCAGATGAGTTTGAGTTTTCAGACACATTTTTATTTGATTGTAAAATCTGAATAGCTTCTTCTATTTTTTTACAGGCTTTAAGTTTGCCTTCATCTGTAGCAGAACTAGCAATTCCTAATGCAGCATTAAGTAAAGTTGTTAATTGACTAGAAGCTGACACAGCATCTCTTAGACGAGTTGGTTGTTCCAGTGATCCCATTACAACACTGTTATTATGACTTTCAAAGGCTGAGGTTGTTATTTCTTCATTAGTAGTTAAACAGGTTTGTTTTTTATCAGATATGCGTACACAAGCATGAACATGTTTGCAAAAGTTCCCCTTAATTTTAAAATTGATGCATGTACATGTGTAATAATGAATACATATTTTACATTCAGGGCATGACAAAGGACAGCCCATACAACTTCTATGGTCATTAATCAACACAGAATATAATGTTGGCCCAGAAGATGACTGTACAAGCCATGTTTTCTGGTCAATTATTTTTATTTTGCTGTCCTCAATTTTGTTGCTTCGATGATGACTGTGGGCAATTTGCTCCATTCGGAATGTAGGCTTATTTTTTGCCATGCGAATAATTCGTTCAAACATCGTTACACATTGCCAGAAAACTTTCTAAAGACTCATGAAATTGTTCAACATCCAAAATTTCCATGAGTGTGCGGCAAGCTTTATATACTTCAGAATGCTTAAATGATGTTGAGGCTTGCACATTATCTTTGTCCAGGAGTTGATATATGTTGGAGCATCATCAGACATCAATATTTTGGCAGGAAAAGGACCCATTTTTCCCTTTACAGATTTAAAAAACTGAGAAATAGCTACAGAATCAATCCTGTTGCTGATACAGAAAGCCACTGGACATCCAGCTCCAAATTCATCAATGGTAAGCATTGTTGTGAGCTGGAAGTCATGTTCAGTTGTCCCATGTGTGCTATCCATGCAAACTTTGTCAATAGCATATTTTGATAATACATCTTGCTGATATTTTGTCATTAATACAATCATAAAATCATCTTTTAAGAGATCATCGTTTTTTTCGCATCCTTGCATTTTAAAATATAAAACAGGTGAGTCCTCTCCGAGTGCCATCTGTTCTTGAACCCACATCTCAGTGCTGAATGCATCATTCTTATGTACTACATCCCTATCCAATTCATAGTCTCTAACAATATTATATAAATCTCTTTTATCGACAATATGCAGTCCGTGAATATTCTCATTCGACACTACTGATTCACGGATTTCATCTAGGATTCGATCAAAAGTCACTCCAATTTTTATTATGCCAGCCAGTTCATCACGTTCCTCTTTAGTGAAATGTAAAAATTTAATTGACTTGGAATGGCCCACATGTGTCTTGCAATAATCTACTGTAATGTGGCCTTCAATATTAGTTGCAACTATTCGAGCAGGACATCTTGAACCAATTTTACTGGAATGTGACCATTTCAGTCTTTTGCCCGTGCCTGTTAACCGGGATGATCCTGATCTATGACATCCATAGTATGATCTATTTCCATTAACTCGATGAATGGTAAAAGAAGTAAGATTTTCTTTTTCAATGACACTTTTCCATTTTTTAAATTCTGAATCATAAAAAAAATATACATATATAATATTTATTATATATAGGTACATGGATAACTATCATTTCAATAAGAAAAATGAAAATATTTACCGTCAACAGATTCAAAAACCTTAGACATAACCTCCAAGTGTACATCATGGTCTATTTCAATGTGCTCGTGAAGCTTTGATGTAGCATTAAATGTTGACTCACATAAAGGACATTTCAACGACGCAAGGCTTTTATAATCATTTTCATCCGGATGAACTTGGCGCATATGTTTGATTAAATTGCTTTTATTGCTAAATTTAACATCACATAGCTTGCAACACTCCTTCAATGAATTGTCCCTTTGATTGTGTTCAGTTCGAATATGCTGGTTAAGAGACTTTAGGTCCAGAAATGTTTTATTGCACCTAAAGAATAAAATTAATGTGAAAATAGAAAGAGCATTCAATTTTTATGGGTCCTGATCAACTACAGTGATTTAAGGTAACACCACCAGTAAGTATTCTACTCAATGTTCGAGATAGTTCCCTAGTTTTTTATTAATAACTTACTCTGAACAAGTTCCAGGTGTAATGTATACCGTCAAAATGTCTGCGTAACGTTGAATGTTGTGGATCTAGCGAAATTGTTGTTACATTTTTGACAAAATTATTCAAAATTTTGTTTTGACAATACAAATACACATAAAATAACAAAAAATACCATAAAAAATCAATAAATGCAAAACACAAATTTTTAGTTAATTGAGTTCATATTTGCAAAATACCACCACCAGTAAGTATTCTACTCAATGTTCGAGAAATCGATATAGTTCACTAGTTTTTTATTCATAACTTACTCTGAACAAGTTCCAGGTATTTTATGTATATCGTCGATATGTCTGCGTAACGTTGTGGATCTAGCAAAATTTTTGTTATATATATGGCAACAGTTTTCACCCTTTTGATTAGTTTTTTTTATCCATATTGCAAAATAAAACGTTAAAAATTATATAAAAGAGTATTTTTTGATTTTTTTAATTTTTTTAATTATTTTATGATATGGATAAGACTATATGGGAGGCAGTTGTCCAAAAATGATAAGAGCATCAACCGAAAAATATGTTATAGTGGTGGTGTTACCTTAAATCACTGTAGTTGATCAGGACCCATACAAATTGAATGCTCTTTCTATTTTCACATTAATTTTATTCTTTAGGTGCAATAAAACATTTCTGGACCTAAAGTCTCTTAACCAGCATATTCGAACTGAACTGGGATGTAAAAGGGATGTAGTACATAAGAATGATGCATTCAGCACTGAGATGTGGGTTCAAGAACAGATGGCACTCGGAGAGGACTCACCTGTTTTATATTTTAAAATGCAAGGATGCGAAAAAAACGATGATCTCTTAAAAGATGATTTTATGATTGTATTAATGACAAAATATCAGCAAGATGTATTATCAAAATATGCTATTGACAAAGTTTGCATGGACAGCACTCATGGGACAACTGAACATGACTTCCAGCTCACAACAATGCTTACCATTGATGAATTTGGAGCTGGATGTCCAGTGTCCGGTACCTATAATATACCTATACCCCTTACCAAAACACTACCGCATACGAATTTTATAATTCTTTGTTGCAATTATTTAATAACTATAGGTATAATGTGTATGATTTATGTATGATAGGTGCAGGGGCGATTTTACAGGGGGGTGTGGGGGGGGTTTGACACCCCCCGAATGTCGGCAATTATAAATACAAGTCGGCAATTTTAAGAAATCAAAAAATCCAACTTTTTATAGATTCTGAGCGGAGCAATGAATGTATTAATTGTACAATGTGTTTTTTTTTTTTTTGCGTTTGTCATCACCTTTTAGGACACTAAAAATGCTTAGATTTTCTTCAACAGTCCAATCTTTACTGATAAGAAAGTGAATCTATAGTTGTTAGGTAATTGGGGGGGGGAGGGGGTTGTCAAAAGTAAAAAATTCCAAATAGTTTTTAAAAGCGCCGGGAAAAACCAAAAAAAAATTAAGGAAAACCGGGAATGTTTACACAAAATTGTTTTTCTACAAAATCGGTATTGGTTTTTGGTGTAACTCTATACATGACTTTTTCCTTAGTTGTTTTCAGCATTTTTACACGAAAACATTTTCAAAAAATGTTGGTTTGTTTTGAACTGTTTACAGATATTTTCAGTTTCAGTTTTTTTTTCTATGAATGTCAATAAAATGTTATTTTTTGGGTAAAAAAAGCTTGATTTAATACAAAGATCCTAATATATTGGTTCACAGACAGATTTAAAAACGATTTTGTAGTTAAACCGTATGAATTAATATTCAACTCTTATAGCTATATAAGGATTGAAAATTTAAAACAAGGTTGCACGTAGTATTCTGTAACCAAAAAATCTCAAAATTATAAGTTTTAATTTCATCTTTGAAAGCAGAATATTTAGATACAGTATTTCGATACATAAAAGTCAAATTTAGGAGTTTAGGGTAGGTTAGGTTAGTAACCTAGGTTTCTAACTTAACCTATTTTAATAATATTCTTATAAATTTGTTGTACATTTATGAAGAAAGTATGCATTTATGTTCTTAAAATATTATTATATGCGTTTCAAATAAAACCCATAAAATACGATGAATAAAAATAGTATTTTTTGATTCAGTATAATATGAATCAAATTTTTTTCTAGGTTTCTAGCATTAAAATGAATAAATAGAAAAAAAAAATATGCAATTTCATAACTATTTGATACCTATAATTTATTACAATAGGAAAAAGTAATTATTATAACATTAAGTAGGTATACAGTCGGCAATATTCACTCCAAACCCCCCTAAAAATAAACTCTAGGATCGCCCCTGGATAGGTGTTGATGTATGCTTGTTTGAAAAAAATATGATTTTAAAATAAAATCTTTCGCGTTAGTTGTGAATATTTAAAAGTTATTTGTTAGGTATTTAACCAATATAGATCTACGATTCTACGACCTAATACTATAAATGTTATTGCGATACAGAACCATGATAGGTAACTTTTATCCATTCTATGCGTTCTAGAACGCCAACCCCTGGATTATTCTAACATTAGGTGAAATAATATTAATGATAACATTGAGTATAATATATATTGTTGTACAATATAGGTACGTATACTCAATGATGATAGGTAGAATGGTATAAATATTTTTTTTTAAGTCGGGGAGAAAATATAATATTTTTTACGTACCTACCTATTTAGTGCATGATAATATATTATATATCTACCCAAAATATTTATGTTTGCCTATAACAACTACCTATACCTACATCATTGCAGTTAATGATTATAAATTAGAAAGGAATTTATAGATGTTTAAAGTATAAAACCTGTATAAAAATCGATTTAAGAAATAATAATCGTGATTTAAAATGGTAGCTAAACAACATTTGTATGTTCACAGGCTATTTTTTTCCACCACGGTAATTTCACAACGTTCAAGGCAGGATGTCCCGCTTGAACACAATTATTTTACCGCGGTGAAAATCACGGGGAGATTTCACACTCGTTGTCCACATATTCGCGCCTCACACAAAAATATTTACCGTATAGCATTTTACGGGGAGATTTCACACTCGTTGTCCACCTATTCGCGCCTCACACAAAAATATTTACCGTATAGCATTTTACAGGGAGATTTCACAATTTTTAAAAAATTTAAGTAAAAAAACTTGTGTAAATATATTTAAGAATTCAATAAAAAAAAAATCTATTATTACATAATTTGTGTTCTGTACTTTAAATAATTATTTCATTTTAATAATAAGGTTTGTTGGGGAAAAAAGAACATTTAGTGTGTACACGGTAAATATTTTTGAGTAAGCGGCAAAACCGATTTTGAGTGTGCAAACTCCCTGTAATTTTAAAATACGGTAAATATTTTTGTATGAGCGGCGAATAGGTGTACAACGAGTGTGAAATCTCCCCGTAAAATGCTATACGGTAAATATTTTTGTGTGAGCGGCGAATAGTTTTTTTTCTATAAATATCAATGAAGTTTTATCTGTTGGGCCAAAAAGTGTAAAAATGTAATACAATACTCCTGATATATTGTTACAATAGCAATTGAAAAATATTAAAAATACATCAACACAATTTTTTTTTATAAGCATTTAAAGATCGAATTTTGACAAAATTTATCAAAATCTCGAAAATGATCAATCATTGTAATTAATAAATTATAAAATGTTCAGTTTTTATAGCTAAGGATTGCAAATTTAAAACAAAGGTTCTCATAAATAGTTCATACTGTAACCAAAAAATCTAAAAAATATATGAACACAGTTATTTTTTACAGACATTTTAAATTCAAATTTGGACGAAATTACATATTAAAAAACTTAGAATATCTATTTTAGTTATTTTGTTGTGATTGAATAATATTATTCGTGGGTACTTGAAACTTCTAATGTGTACTATTATATATTTATATATCTATGATAGTATCAGGGTTTGTTATTGATGTTGATGTATAACGTGTTATAAGTACCTAATGGATATTGTGATAATGTGATATGATTAATTTGGAATTTATTATAGGTCAATTTTTTTTTTAATACCATAGATATGTATATTGTCTTAAACCTAGACTGACATACCGTCTTCGCTCAGAATCGTTTTTCTTATACAATGATATTGTATCATTGAATTCAAATTTAATAGCATCCATTATACAGTGACCCACTTGTAACCTACTGTACAGCAGAGCGACATCCACTTAACCACCTTTTTTTTATAAATTGTAATATAAAATGTTTAAGTGTTAACTCTGTTAATAAAGAAAGCGAGTACTGAATTCAATAAAATGGACTGTCCATACTATTTCATATTATTATCATAGCACATAGGACATAGGTAATAAAGATAAATCTAGATAGAAAGTAATGCATTTAATTTTATTACCATGTAGGAAAATACATATTGGTATATTTTTGTTCGTCTAGCTTCAAATAAATTATTGATTGACAGATAATAACCTTCGATTTTTTTTTAGTGTTGGAACTTATTTTTTTTCGTGTGGGAACTTACATATTATTATGTACCCGCTTACCTGCTATGTTTCGGGTAGGAACTTATTAACCCCATCAGGTTGACAATCCCTATATCTCAACGTAGTATAATACTATAATAAGAATATTTAACAATAGTTAAATAACGTTAGTATAGTGTTATTTAGAATTTAGGGTAGGTATACTATCAAAAAGTCTGAGGTAAAAAAGTCTGTGGTGAA